AGGCTGTGCCAATTTACAACCCCACCAGCAATGTGTGAGTGTTCTGATTTCTCCACATCCTCAACAACACTTGTTATTTTCTTTTTTAATATTTTTATTTTTCAGTTTTCGGCGGACACAACATCTTTTGTTTTGTATGTGGTGCTGAGGATCGAACCCGGGCCGCACGCATGCCAGGCAAGTGTGCTACTGCTTGAGCCACATCCCCAGCCCCTTGTTATTTTCTGTTAAAAAATTTATAACCATCCTAGTGGATGTGGAATAGTATCTCGTTATAGCTTTTTTTTTTTTTTTTGGTGTTGTTGGTACTGGGGATTTAACTTAAGAGTGCTTAACCACTGAGCCACATTCCCATCCCTTTTTATTTTTTATTTTGAGAAAGGGTCTTTCTAAGTTGCTTAGGGACTCACTAAGTTGCTGGGGCTGATCTTTTTTTTTTAATACCTTTATTTTATTCGCATATTTTTATGTGGTGGCGGGGATCGAACTCAGTGCCTCATGCATGCTAGGCAAGCACTCTGCCCACTGAACCACAACTCCAGCCCCTGGGGCTGATCTTGATCTTGTGATCCTCCTGCCTCAGCCTCCTAAATCACTGGGATTACAGGTATGCACCATTGCACCCAGCTCCGTATCATTTTGATTAGCATTTCTCTAATGACTCATGATTTTGAACATATTTTCATGTGCATATGAGTCATTTGTTCATCTCTGTAGAAATGGCTATTTAAATTGTTTGCTCAATCGCTCTTGCTTGCTTTCTTTCTCTGTCTCTCTCTCTCTCTCTCTCTCTCTGTGTATCTCTGTGTCTCTCTTTTTTTTCCAGTGCTGGAGATTGGAAACAGCACCTTGCACATGCAAGCCGGAGCTCTGCTACTGAGCCGTATCCTTAGCCCTGTTAGTCGAATTTTTAAGTGGGTTGTCGGTCTTTATGTTATTGCATTGTAAGAATTCCTTATATATTCTGAATACTATACCCTTATCATCTATATAATTTACTTAACATTTTCTACCATTGTGTAGATTGTCTTTTCACTTGTGGACAGTGCCTTTTGATGTACAAATATTTTTACCTTTTTTTTTTTTTGTCCTGGGGGTTGAATCCAGGGGTGTTTTAACATTGACCTATGTCTCAAGTCCTTTTTATTTTTTAGTTTGAGATCAGGTCTCACTAAGTTGCTGAGGATCTTGCTAATTTGTTTAGACTGGCTTTGAACTTGTGATCCTCCTGCTTCAGTCACCTAGGTCATTGGGTTATAGGCATGTACCCCTGTGCCTGTCAAAGTTTTACCTTTGATGAAGTCCAGTTTATCTATTTTTGTTGCTGCTTATGCTTTTGGTGTTATACCTAAGAAACCATTGCGATTGCCAAGGTCATGAAGATTTACTCCTGTGTTTTCTTCCAAGAGTCTTATAGTTTTAGCTCTTACTTTTAGGTCCTTAATACATTTTGAGTTAAGTTTTGTAGAAGGTAGGAGTCCACCTTTATTCTTTTGCATGTCAATATCACTATTTGTTGAAGAGACTGTTCTTTCCCCATTGAATAGTTATACCCTTATCAAAATCAATTGATCTCATATGCATGGGTTTATTTCTGGACTTTCAATTTTATTATATTGGTCTATCCTTATGCCAGTACCACACTGTTGCATGATTTATGTATGTGTGTATGTGTGGTGCTAGGGATTGGACCCTGGGCCTTATGCATGCTAGCAAGTGCTCTACCATTAAGGTATAATTCCAGCCCTGATGCATGCAATTTTAAAGGAAGACTTTTGTGGTTCACTTTGGAAAATAATTTGTTGGGAGCAGCACTACAAACAGGAGCGTCTATTGAGTGAGCAATTCCAAGATACAATTCCAAGATTCAACCCAAGGCAATGGGACATGGACTAGGGTCTGGCAGAGGGAATGGAGAAATGTTCTGGATCTAGAATGAGCAGAACGTGGCTAAAATTGCATGCAGCAAGTGAGAAACATGGTAGTCAAGGATCCTACTGTTCCTGCATTGGGTGATGATTTCATTTCTTTGTAATAGAGAATTGGAGGGTCTGGGGAGTTCTGGTTTGGATTGTCTGGATCTGAGGTGCCCCAGTGTCAGATGTTGAGCACGTGCACATCTGTTTATACAAACATACTTGCACAAGTGGCCAACACATTCTGGGCCCACATATCTGATAATCTGTTCTCAAAGAAGAACCGGAAAATCTTTGATAATTCTACCCATTAAGGTACTGGGGGGCAGTGCACTAGCAGCCCCTGCCCAGGGTCTGGAGAGGATGGTTGAGTTCAGGGAGAGGGATGGCCATCAGCCAGTGCTTCTCACTCTTGCACTGGATGAGCTGTTTTATAGCCATGCTCTGCCTTCCCCACTGTGGGCATGAGAACTTGGGGCTAAGGTCCACAGGCAGCTTGTGGCTGTCTTAGCTTCCTTGGGTCCCACAAGTCCCTCACCAGCTGCTGCTCCTCTCAATGCACAGTATCTGATGGTGGAGGGCAAACCATGGACTGCCCCAGGGCCTGTCAGGCAGCTCTGAAGACTGGCTTCCCTGTAGCAAGGTGGAGGAGAAGGACTGAGAATGTGGGGGATGATCCAATCTTTTCTCATGAAGAGGTTCAACCAGGGTTGAGACCTGTGGCATTCTGCCCAAGGGACATGATACTGAGCATCTGCTGGGGTGCAGGAGGACACTAGTGCCTTTTTCCACAGCCCTAACTAGGTAGTTCTTTCAAAATCCTACTCACTGCTTCTTAGCTGCACACCCCTATTTTTCCAGGTTGAAAATGCCTCTCTTTCATAACTGTGACGTGTGTGTGCACGCGCATGTGCCTGTGTGCATGGATGGGAGGGAAGATCAGGGAAAAATCCAAGATCCTCTTTAAGTGAAAGAAGACAAAATTATGAATACAAAATTAAGTACAGGGCTTTGGCAAGGGACTGTGGAATCAAGCAGCCCACATTTAAAATGCCTGTGTGAAATCGTCCTGGTACTAGGGGGCAGTGTATACTTTCTGATCCTGGGGCATGTGCCCCAGGAACCTCTGTAGGGAACAATGGCCACTGAGGACGTCATAGCTCTTTCCCACAGTGCCCAGCAAAGGAATGAAATGAGCAGCTGTCATTTAGGTCAGGCCTTGGCCGGGCCATGAGCTCCATGGCAGGCCCGATAACTATCACCTCCGGGTGAGACAGGGACTTTGTGCCCCTGAGGAGAACAGGACCTGCAGGGAGAAGTCTCTTGTCCTGATCTACCCAGGCTAGTGAGAGGATGAGCTTGGGGTTTGAATTCAAGACAATGTGAATCCAGATCTATGATCTTCCCAAAGCCAAGTTATAAAGAGCACAGCACATTTGCGGAGGGAGGAAATGATTCGGTGACCAAGTTGGTGTGTGAGTAGGGATGGAATGACCTAGCAAAAGTGGAGGAGAGAGAGAAGGATCAGACAATGGACCCAAACTTTTCTGAGCATTTACTGCGTGCCAGGTGCTATGCTAGACATTAGACATGGGCAGAGAGCCAGGTGGTCACGGTCCCTGCTCTTAGGGAGTTTAGTCTGGTGGGGAAGCCAGATTCTGGGTGCCAGGGAAGGTGAAGGGAATGAGGTGTCCTGAGAACTTACAGGTGCCCTCACCTATCTAGAAGACCCTGAGCCTTGAAAGATGAAGCTATAAGCAGTAGCTGAGGAAGGGGAGTGGAGAAGGAGCACCCAGCCATTGGGAGGTCCAGACATAACTGTTTTTTTTTTTTTGGAAAGACTCAAAGGAACCGAGCAAGGGTGGAATGGAGAAGGGAAGAGGGTATATGGAGGGCAAAAATTGGGCCCAGAGACACATGCAGAGGGTCTTTTAATGACAGGGCACTTTTCCTAAAGATGACAGAAGGAGTTTAGGCAGGAATATAGAGATGGTCTTAGCTGCCCAGAGGGCCAATGGGGTGAGTGACCTTTCTCCTTTTGACCTTCACCAGTAGTATTGAACTAGAGGACTTGGTCTGTGTATGTGCACACAATGTGGGGAGTGGCGCATGTGTGTTCCCACCTGGCCGATAGACTGCTCTGTGGGAGTTGAAAAAGCTGTTCTTTTCCTGACTTGATTTCCTTCTGCATCTCCTCCTAGGGGCCCACGCCTGCTTAAGAACACCATGTACGAAGGTGAGCGACCCAACAATTCTGCAGGGAGCGTGGCCCCGGGGTGTGTGTTGGGGGGGTGGAGGACTGGGGAGTCCACCCAGTGGTTAGATTGCTGCACTGAGCAGGTTCTGTTTCTGGTACGGCCCGTGCTCTTCTCTACGGAGTCAGCCTCACCCAGAACAGGCCAGCCATCAAGGGCCACAGGCGGCTCTGCCAACGTGGCTTTGAGATTAGTGCTGTGACCACATGCAGAGTAGTTCTAGCAACTTCAGAGCTTGTCTCTGGCTTGCACTGCCCCAAGGCTCAGGGATCCTTGCTAGTGCACCTACATGGCCCTGACACAGGTACCCTGCTGGAATTCGGCTCCTCCCCCTTTTCTACCTAAAGCGGAAGAGGTTCCTGGTCTGTCCATTGTAGACTTGCACCTTTGTGCCTGGCGTTGTGTTAGGAGCTGTGAGTGCCCCAGAGTCCAAGATAAGACAGTTCTAGACATCCAGAGCTTGACCCTAGTAAGGGCCAGACTACCCAGTGAGCGGCTGGAATGAAGGGGGATGCATTTTTACTAGGAGTAGTGGGACTGGCAAAGGATGACAGGGGGAGGTTTGAAGCCAAGAGCACTGCGCTTGTTCAGGGTCATGAGCTGAGGGGAAGCAGGCTGTGGTCAGAGAAGGGGTTACCCACCAAGAGAGCAAGGAGGGGAACAGGGTGTGATGGGGCTGGAAAGGTGGTCCAAGGACCATCAAATGCTTGTAAGTCACAGCAAGAGGCCCTCATTCTAAGAATGGTGAGCCGGCAGGGGAAGTTTTAACAAGTGCAGCCTAGTGGCCTTTGTCTTCTCTCAGGGGTCCTGCAGGGAGCTCGACAGTTGGCCATTGAAGAGAAGGGGCAGTAGCATTGAGAGACCTCCAGACTGCACATGGCCCTGAGTCCAATGGCTGGTGTGGTCCTCCATGAAGACCCAAAGATGACACCAAGTCTCAACTCTGGTACCCTCGCTGGGCCCAACATGGATGTGGCCTTTGATCCTATCTTGAGTCCACCCCATAGTCCTGGAGTGCCTCTCGTTCCAGACCTGAATCCAACTCTGAATCTTGTTCCAGAGGAGGCCTCTGACCTAATTCCTGATAACACCACCAGCCCCGAAGACAATCCGAGTCTCATCTCAAAGCCTGACCCACAGGGGTCCCTTAGTCCAGCCTCAAACCCTGTTCTGAGCCCAGGCCCTACAGAGGCCACCTGTCTGAGCTCAGGGAACCACTCTGGGCTGAATCCTGAGCAGGACTGCAAGCCCCTTCTGAGCAAGATGTTTGATTTGGGTCAGAGTAACTCCAACCCTTCCAGGCCCGAGTTGAGCTCATTTATGAGGTCCCATTCTAGAGAAGCCCTGGTTCTGGGCCACTGTGTCTCTCGGTCGGGCTCACAAGCACCCCTTATTCGAGTCTCAAACACTACTCTGGACCCTGGCTCTAATCAGCTTCTCGATGTGGGCTCAAAAAACATCTGCGCACTAAACCTGAACACTGATGCAGATTCTGGTGGCACCCCAATCCCAGACACAAATGAGACTCTCAATTTGGCTCCACGTAACATCGCTGGGTCTATTTCCAAAGGATCCTTTGGTGCAACCTGGAGCACAAGTTCAAAGGGGACCGTCAACGCGGCTTCTAATAGTCTCCCCAGACCTGATGTGAACATGACTGTCACTCAGGCCTCATGCTTGACCCTGATTTCTGCCTCGAGCGATGGTGTCAGCATGCATTCCGCTGCCCATGGCCCGAGGTCCTCCCTCTCGCCACCCTCATGCCTGACTCTGATCCTGGGCTCCAATGAGACTCTGAGCATGGGCTCCAGCCTCATGATCAGTGACACCTCCACCTTGACATTGAGCAGGCAGCAGGAATATTCTGAGGACAATAGCATTCGCACCATGCCCCTGGAGGGGACTCTGGACAGCTGGGCCGAGGTGTGCAACAATGTAGTCAACGACAGCTTCCCTGAGGGTGAGTAAGGAAGGGCCACAGCTCTAAAGGATGACTGTACTCAGACTCATAGGGCAGAGGGGGGAGCAGAGAGGACAGGGGAAGGGAGCAGCCTGCAACAGATAGCACAATGGCAATAGCACACAGAGACCTAGCACTTGACTTAGAATGAGCTGCTTAAACTCCCTGAGAAGTTGATGTTCTTCTTCTCCTCCTCCTCCGTTTTTTTTTTTTGATCCTGGGGATTGAACCGGAGAGCATTTTTTACTACTGAGTCACATCCCCAGTCCTTTTTTAAAATTTTGAGACAGGGTTTCATCAAGTTCCTGATAACACCGCCAGCCCCTAAGACAATCCAAGTCTCATCTCAAAGCCTGACCCACACTAAGCTGCTGAGGCTGGCTTTGAACTTGTGATCTTCCCGCCTCAGCCTCTCAAGTCGCTGGGATTATAGGCATACGCCATCACACCCAGAACTATATAATATTTTTATTCTGTCCAAATTCTAAGTCTATTTAGCAACTATACCTTCCCTTCAGAATGTCCACCTTTTTGTGGAAAAATATTGGGCCCTACTCCTCAGGCCAAGGTTTGGCCAGTGGCCAGGTAGCTCAGACTCAGCTCACCACTGTTGAGACTTCAGGGTCTCCACCAGGTCAAGACCCTATAGTCCTGTCTGGAACTGGTTCTTCTTCCTGATTTGCAGTTCTGTAATTCATTCTCTATCAGTTTCTACTGCTATAAACATCTTCTCCTAATCAATTTTTGTTTATGTACCAATACCGTGTGATTTTTTTAAAAAAAATTACCATGGCTTTGTAAATATATATTCACATCTGGTAAGATGAGAGAATTCCTCCTCAAAAGTAAATTCCTCCTGAAAATTGACTTAGCAGGGAGCTGGGGTTGTGGCTCAGTGGTAGAGCGCTCGCCTAGCACACCTGAGGCGCTGGGTTCAATCTTCAGTACCACATAAAAATAAATGTATAAAAAAATTGACTTAGCAATTAGTAGACCTTCATTATGCCATATACATTTTAAAATAAATTTGTGTAGGTCCTCAAAAACATTTATTGGCATTTTTATTAGAATGCTATTGGTTTATCTATGTATTCAAGTTTTCCTTGCTATAGGGTGTATGGAAAATTTAGGTCTAGTGCATTCTTTGATGGATTAAACCTAGCTATTTTATGGTTTTAATTGGTATCATAAATCAGATCTTGTTTCCTTTTTTTTTTTTAAGTTGTTGATAATTGACCTTTATTTTTTGTTTATTTTTATATGTGGTGTTGAAAATCGAACCCAGTGCCTCACACATGCCAGGCAAGTGCACTACTGCTGAGTCCTAGCCCCAGCCCTAGATCTTGCTTTTTAATACAATTCCTCTTTGGTATTGATGATTCTGATAATGTAGAGGAAATTTGTTTTTGACAGTGATTTTTTTTTTTTTTTAAGTACTGGGGATTGAACTCGGGGGCACTGAGCTACATCCTCAGCCCATTTTTAAAAAATATTTCTTTTAGTTGTTGATGGACACAATATCTTTATTTTTATTTATTTATTTTTACGCAGTGCTGAGGATTGAACCCAGGGCCTCATGCATGCAAGGCCAGTGCTCTTCCACTGAGCTACAACCCCCAGCCTCTCCTTAGCCCTTTTTCTCATTTTGAGACAATCTTGCTAAATTGCCAGGTTGGTTTTGAACTTGGGATGCTCCTGCCTCAGCCTCCCGAGTAGCTGAAAATACATGTGTGTATAATACCTGGCTCAAGTAGGTTTTATTTTAAACAATTTTATTGAGATATAATTTACTATGTAAAATCTGATTCCCTCCTTTAAGGTGTACAATCTAAAAGCTATATTATATACAGAGTTGTGCAACCATGGCCATGATCAGTTTTGGAACATTTTTATCACCCCAAAAGAAACCCTATACCATGTAGATATAATCACCTACCCAACCCATATCCAGCCCTAGACAGTCACTAATCTACATTCTGTCTGCATAGATTTACCTATTTTGAGCATTTTATATAAGTGGAATTATTCAGTATGTGGTTCTTTGGGATTAGCTTCTTTCACTTGGCCCAATACTTTCAAGTTTCATTCATGTTATAGCCTGTATTGCCATTTCATCCCTCTTTATGGCTGAATAAGATTCCCCTGTAGGAACATGCCACATTTTGTTAATGACCAAATGGGTTGTTTCTATATTTTGGCTATTTTAAGTAATGCTAATATGAACATTTACCCACAAAATTTTGTATAGACGCACATTTTTATTTCCCTTTGGTATATGCCTTGGAGTGGAACTACTGGTTATTCTAGATTTAGTTTTTGTGAAACCATTGGTAATTTCCACTAGCAATGTAGGAGGTTTCCATTTTTTCATGTTTTTGCCAACATTTATTTTCCTTCCCTCACTCCCCAATAGCCAACTTAAAGGGTGTGGAGTGATATCTTACTGTGGCTTTGATTAGTGACTAATGTGGCTTTGATTAGTGACATCTTTCCATGTGTGTTTTTTTTTTTAATTTTTTATACCTTTATTTTAATGTGGTGCTGAGGATTGAACCCAGCACCCCGCATGTGCTAGGCGAGCACTCTACCGCTGAGCCATAACCCCAGCCCTCCTTGTGCTTTTTGGCCATTTGTATATTTCTGTTGCAAAACTATCTATTCAAATCCTTTCCCTATTTTTGAATTTGTTTGTTTGTGTGGTTGAGTTGTAGTTCTTTACATGTTCTGAATATTATTCCCTTATTAGATATATGACTTGAAAATATTTTGTGCAATTCTGTGGATTAGCTTTTCATTCTTTTCTTTTTTTGGGGGGGATACTGGGGATCAAACCCAGGGGCACTTTACCTTGAATTACACCCCCAGCTCTTTTTATTTTATATTTTGAGACAGGGGTCTTGCTAAGTTGCTGAGGCTGGCCTTCAACTTGCAATCCTCCTGCCTCAGCCTCCTTAGCCACTGGGATTATAGGTGTGTGCCACTGCTCCCAGCTACATTTAAATAAAACTATATTTATATTTAAATTTTAACTATATATAGTTAATAAATTTTAAATACATTTTATGTATAACTATTATAATATATTTTAAATATAACTACAAATTATATATTATTATTATCATTATCATTATTATTATTATCATTATAATCATCATTATGGTTTTTGGTACTGGGAATTTAATCCAGGGACACTTTACTACTGAGCCACATCCCCAGCCCTTTTTATTTTTTATTTTGAGACAGGGTCTTGCTAAGTTGCTTAGGGCCTTGCTAGTTGATGCAGCTGGCCTCAAACTTATGGTCCTCCCATCTCAGTCTCCCTAGTTGTTGAGATTACAGGCACCAGCCCAGATTGCAATATACTTTAAATATCAATAATATACTCTTGTATGCATGTGTTTATATATGTGTGTGTATATATGTATCTCTCTGTCTGGTTCAACTTCATTTCTTTTTGAATTAAAAAGGTTTATTTTCCCCCGATTTTCTTTTTACTGTGTTAAAATACACATAGCATAGAATTTATCATCTTAGCTATTTTATTTCATTTATTTACTTTAAAGTTTTTTTTTTAGTTGTTGATGGACACAATATCTTTATTTTATTCATTTATTTTTATGTAGTGCTGGGGATTGAACCCAGTGCCTCATGTGTGCAAGGCAAGCGCTCTACCACTGAGCCACAACCCAGCCCTCATTTATTTACTTTTTTAATGTATATTTTTTAGTTGTAGTTGTCGATACCTTTATTTATTTATTTATTTTTATGTGATGCTGAGGATCGAACCTAGGGCCTTGCATGTGCTAGGCGAACGCTCTACCACTGAGCTACAACCCCAGACCCCATCTTAGCCATTTTAAATGTGCATTTCTGTAGTATTAAGTACAATCTTGTGTAGCCATCACTACCCTCAATCTCCAGAGCTCTCTTCGTCTTATTAAACTGAACTTCTGTTCCCATGAAACAATAACTCCCCATTTCCCCAGGCCCATCCCCAGGCACCCAAAATGCGACTGGCTGTCTTCCTTGATTTATGATGACCTTATATTCCTAATGCATTCTTCTACATGTGGATGTCCAGCTTTCCTAGCACTATTTATTGAAAACACTGTCCTTTCCCCAGTGAAGTCTTAGCATTTTATTCAAAAATCATTTGACCCTGTAAGGGAGCATTTATGTTGGGGTTCTCTATTCTAATCTGTTGGTCTTCACATCTGTCCTTGTGCTAGTACCATGTTGTTTTGAAATCAGGGAGTGTGAGACCTCTAGCTCTGTTTTACTTTCAAGATTGTTCAGTTATTCAGGAGGGATATATATATATATATATATATATATATATATATATATATATATTTTTTTTTTTTTTGTTCTGGGGATTTAATCCAGGGGCACTTTACCACTGAGCCACATCCCCAGCCCTATTTTGTATTTTATTTACAGACAAGGTCTCACTGAGTTGCTTAATGCCTTGCTAAGGGATTGAACCCACAGTTGTTCTACCACTGAACTCCCCCTGCCAGCCCTTTTGTAATTTAAAAAAATTTGAGAGAGTTTCTCACCAAGTTACTTAGGGCCTTGCTAAATTGCTGAGGCTGGCTTTGAACTTGCTGTCCTCCTGCCCCTGCCTCTTGAGCTGCTGGGATTACAGGCATACCCCACTGCTCCCAGCACTGTGAACCTTTTGGTATATGACTTTTGGTGCAGAGACCTTTATGTAAGAGTGGAATTTCTGGGTCATAGTGTATGCATATTTACAGCTTGAGTAGACATCGCCAAATAGCTTTTGGTCCTTGCTGCTGTAACAAAATACCAGAGGTTGGGTGATTTATAAATAACAGAAATTTATTTCTCAGAGTTCTGGAGGCTAGAAGTTCAAGATCAAGGTACCAATATTTGGTGTTTTGTGAAGGCCTTCTTACAATATCTTCACATGGCAGAAGGGACAAATGCTGTGTTCTCATGAAGGTAGAAGGGGAAGAACAGGTTGAAGGCTGTGTAAAGCCTCTTTTATTTTGTTTTTGTAGTACTGGGGGTTGAAACCAGGATCGCTTTACTGCTGAGCTATACCATCAGACCTTTTTATTTTTTTATTTTTATTTTGAGAAAGGGTCTCACTAAATTGCTGAGAGTCTTGACACGTTGCCCAGGCTGGCCCTGAACATGCAATCTTCCTGCCTCATCCTCCTGAATTACTAGATTACAGGTGTGCTGCACTGTACCTAGTTGAGGCCTCTTTTTAAAGGTGTCTTTATCTCATTCATGAGAGAAGAACTTTCATGACCTAACATTCCTAAAGTCCATCCCTCTTTGTACTGATGCATTGGAAACTAGGTTTTAGCATGAATTTGGAGGGACACAAGTGTTCAAACCATAGCAGTGGTTGAATTAATTTACCCTCCCATAATATGAGAGTTCAGTGTGTTCCACATCCTCACCAACATTTGGTATTGTCACTAATGACTCAAGATGGCTGCAGTCATGTCAAGCAGTACCTTTAACCATTCCCTTAATTACTGGGTTTTAGAGTTACTCTTTTTTTAAACTTCTTTTTACATGGACATTATAATTCTACATACTAGTGGCTTCCTGGGGCCATATTCTTACATACACAGAGCATAATTTGATCAATCTAATTCCCCAGTACCTTCCATTTCCCTCGCTTCTCCCTCTCCCCAATCTACTGGCTCTGTTCTTTTTATTTATTTATTTATTTATTTACTGGCTCTGTTCTAATGATCACCTTTCCATTCTTTTTTTGGGGAGGCAGGGGAGGGGGGTACTAATGATTGAACTCAGGGCAGTTGACCCCTTAGCCACATCCCCAGTCCTATTTTGTATTTTATTTAGAGGCAGGGTCTCACTGAGTTGCTTAGTGCCTTGCTGTTGGTGAGGCTGGCTTTGAACTCATGATCCTCCTGCCTCAGCCTCCTGAGCCACTGGGATTACAGGCGTGGGCCACCGCACTGGCTCTCTTCCATTCTTATTGTTGTTTTATTAATTAGTGCATTATAAATAAATGCATGACTCATTGTGGTATATTTGTACATGAGCATGGCATAATTTGTAGATTTTGTTCCCCAGGACTTTTCTGGGCCCTCCCATTGTCCCTTCTGCTCCATCATCTTAGTTTTACTCTGTGGTCTCTCTTCTGTTTTCATGAGCTTCCTTTTTATTCCTTTCTTTCTCTAGATCCACATGTGAGAGAGAACATTTAGATACTCTTGATATCTAGTACCACAGTCCTCCAACTTAGCTCTTCCTGAAGATGCTCTGTTCTAGGCTGGGCATGGTGGTGCACACCTGGGATCCCAGCAGCTCAGGAGGCCGAGGCAGGAGGATCACGAGTTCAAAGCCAGCCTCAGCAACTTAGTAAGGCGCTAAGCAACTCAGTGAGACCCTGTCTCTAAATATAAATAAATAAAAAGGGCTGGGGATGTGGCTCAGCGGTAAAGTGCCCCTGGGTTCAGTCTCCAGTACGAAACAACAACAACAACAAAACCTCTGTTTTAAGTGCTCTGCTTTTCCATATAAACTCTAGGAACAACTTGTCAAATTCCACAAAGTAAAATAGAATGACAACCAGCTGGGATTTTCTTTGGGATTCCATTAAACCCACAGATGGACTTAGGTAGTGTCCTCTATATAGTGCTGTTTCCAAGCCCCAGTCCTTTCATATGTAAAGTGATGACTTGGGTGTCTGTGTGTCTTCTGCTTGTGTCCTTTGTCCTGCTGATCCTGTTTCTTTTTCTGTCCTTTTTTGGCTTTGGGGTGGTTGTTTCTCCTCACTTTCTCTCCTTTCCTTGGTTGGAAGTAATATCCTGTGCTGTCTTTTATTTGTAGAAGTTTGTTTTGAAGTTCTGGGGAGGAGCCCAGGGCCTGGAGCATGTTAGCCACACACTATACTGAGCCACCCAGCACCTCTGTGCTCTTTTAGTGATTCTGTAGAGAAGCTTTAATGTACAGGTTGAATAAAAGTGTCCAGTTTACCCAATACAAATATCCTTCTCCCAGAGAGTTTAAGATTTAGGAACACGTTAATCCCACTTAATTCACTCCCCCCAATTTATATGCTATTGCAGTAAGACATTTTAATTCTAAGTTCTTAAATTCATAAACCTTATTTATTTTATATAGTTCACATTCTTCTATTTACTCAAATATTAACCTCCTTCAGTTGCTTCTTTATTTATTGTTGTCTCAGACCTTCTATTTGGGATTAATTTTCTCTGGCCTGAAGGATACCCTTTAGAATTTCCTTTGGTGAATTCTGCTGATAGTAATCTCAACTTTTATCTTAAAATGTCTATTTTTCTTGATATTCGAAATTTCCTTAATTTGGCGAGTGGAATACCCTTCAAGTAAGTGTTCCTGTTCTCTTGAAATATCCCGCTTTCTTCCTTGTTTTCTGATACAAGATATCCCAGGCGCATCCTGGGCTCCCCTGCCCAAGTCTTGCAATCAGCCGTTTCTGCAGGGAGCCCCGTTGGTGGCAGTGGAGACGGTGATTGGAAGCCAAGGTCTTGGCCCCAGCGAGGTCCGCGTTCGGTTCTCCCCATTGGCGCCTTCCTCTGGCAGCCTCTGGAGGTTGCAGCCAAGGTGCCCCAGAGTTCCAGCTCTCACAGGTTCTGGTTCTTGATCTCAGAATTCTGAGAGAGACCTGCTGACCTTCAGTGTCCCCTCAGCACCCATAAGTAAAGGACCATAACTAGCCCTGCTCACCTAAGTACCCGCCCCTGAAGCAATCACTGGGGCTCTTCTTGGCCATGTTTGGGTTCAGGCCCCCCCCCCCCCCCCCGCTAGCTGAAGAAGGGGTGATGGGTGGGGCTTCCAGCGTTCTGGGGGACTCAGTCGCTGGAACACCCACCGGAAGAGCCCAGGGAAAAGGGGGGCCTTCACCCCGCAAAAAGTGAGAGAATTGGGGGCTGAGCAGTAGCAGGTGCCTTGTGAAACAAATAAGTGGTCACTTATAAATTGGGTAACTAGGAGGCCGCACCGAGCGGCCAGTGGGCCCTCATTTGGCCCAAGGGTCAGGAGAGGCATCTCTGAGGAGTGGCAGGCAAAGACCGGAAGGAAGGGACCCCGGAGGGACAAGGGGGAATGGCAGGGGAGTGACTGGGCAGGGGAAACCTGTGTCAGGGCCTTGGGGTACACTTGTCCAGGACTGGAGAAGGCCAGGGTGGGAGAGCAGTGGGAGATGAAGTTGGGAAGTGGAGGGGGAGGGCCCTGGCAATGGTGATGGCTTCCTGCTTAATGGAATGTGGCTCCACTGAAGGGCTTCAGGGAGGGGAGGTGACCTGAGCTGATTTATACTTTATGCTCAGCCTGCTGGGGGAGTGAGGGTTGGGGGTGTCGGGTGGGAAGGGACTCTGGCACCCTGAGTCCCCCTATGTTCTGTCTGCTTCTCTTCTCATGGAAACGCGACATGCAGAAATCTTTGATAAAGTGACCTCAAATCTGAGGAAGGTGCCAGAGAACAGAGAAGATGACAACAAACCGGCACTGGTATGCCTCTGCTTCACTCCTAGCCACTTTCCTGGGGCACCCCTCCCCACCACCCAGCTTCCTGTTCCTTGGTGGCGTTTCTTCCTCTCATGTAACGTGTGCCTCTTCACCCCTGTTTCTTGTTCATCTCCTCCATTAGAATGAGTCTTCCACAAATCAGAGATGTCTATCTGTCTTACAGAAGCATTTTCAGCATTTAGAGCAGTGCGTGGTACCTTAGTAGGTGCGCTATGAAAGTTTTTAAGGACACAGTCATTTCCCAGTTTAGGTCTGGGCCACGCAGCAGGCGTTGGAAGCAGAGCATTTGCTCTGGTGAGGGCCAGTTGGGCAGAATGGACAAGCTGGTGGACATGAAGGTGGCACTCGAGTGTGAGCAAGATCAGCTTGTGGATGGGGTCTGAAGTCAGGGGATCCACCCAGGCCGGGCCTGGCCAGCTCCAGCCCTTAGGCAGTGTGGGTGAGGGCAGGGAGAAGGTGACAGGAGCACAAGGCCCTGTATTTAGGGAACATTCATCCTCATCCTTCTTGTCATCCGCCTTACTCTTGCCCTTCCCTCTTCTCACACCCTGAACTCCTTCTCGACTCTGGGTCTTTGCCCTTTCCATTGATAGAAGTGGAAAAGAACTCTGGGCCATCTTTACCCCGCCACCATCTCCATTCTGTTTTTTCTTTACTATTTGAAATTTATTTACTTATTTCATGGCTAGCTTCTCTTCTTCACCTTTAAGATAGGGTAAGCGATAGGTTACTTGGAGGTGGGTTCCTGTGTTCCCTCTGTCGTGCAGCAGAATGCCCTAATTTGACTGGTATGTTCTAGAAGGTTCCTAAGTGTTGGGGGAATTTCAGGTTGGATGCCGAGACCTTTTCTGTCTCTCCCTGTCTTTTCCTCTCATTTCTGATCTCCAAAAGCTGGCCTTCAGGATTACCCTTCCCATCCCCATTACCAAGATTTTTCTCCAGTTTTCACCCCACTCCACCGCAAGTCCTCCCTGCCCCTGCTTAGGGGTGGGGGGAGCTTGTCATTTCTGTTGAGCTGATGCTGGGAACTGGCTTTTCAAGGTGCTGGGTGTCAGCAGATGCTCTATGCACCCCCAAGGGCTGGCTTCAGTGGGGCTTCCCCTGTGGTTCTGTTCCAAGGTTGAGAACGTCAAGGCCGTTCCGAAGGGCCAGGACTTGCTGGAAGGGGAAGGAAAGAAGAAGTCCATGATGAAGAAGATGATGGTGCGAGGGGGGCCACAGCGGTGTGCGGCACTGGATGGGAAGGGGTGGAATTCCTGAGCCCACCCATTGATGAGACTGGGTGAGGGTGGGTGGGGTGGGAGGAAGATAGGATGAAGGACAGGTCACCTGGACTTGAGCCTTGGCTCCCCTTCTACTTGCCCTCCACCTACCCTGAGGGAGCTTGGGCAGGTTATTTTTCTTCTCTGAGCCAACTCTCCTCATTTTGCAGATGGGGTCACAATGCCCGTGTCTCTGGGAGAATAGTCTAGTGGGCTTTCCCTGCAGAGCCTTGTGCATGGGAAATGGTTATCACTGAATCATTCTCTCCCCAGAAATTCCTCCTGGTGGGCAACTTCAGGATTGCTGAATGCAGTCTCTTCTCTGCTATCCACCAGAATGAGTTGGGCAAGGTTAATCACTGAAGTTTATAAAATTATATTTGGCTTTGTGTCCCTTGAAAAAAGAGAGAGAGAAGAGACTTGGGTGTAGCTTAGGAGTCATGTGGTTGTTTAGCATGTGTGAGGCCCTGGGTTCAATCCCCAGCACACTTTCATTTATCTGATATCACTGAGCACGAACTGTATGTAGGTGCTACATCAAAAGTGAAAAGTAGAAGATCCTTTTAGAGGATTCCAACCAGCAGCTTTCAGGGGCCATGAGTAGTGTTTTTTGCTTGGGCAGCTCTGTGGGTGAAATAGTCTTCTGTCACTAAGCTGCTGCAGGAACAATTTTACCGAGTTCTCCATGTGGGGTGCAGCAGGTGAGGGCTGGGGGTGTTTGGGGTTTTGAACTGAAGTTTCAGGATAGAGTTTGAGCAGTGAGCTGGCTCTCTGGACCCCTCTGGTGGGGGACTCTGCCCAAGCTGAAGGGCTGTTGCACCTGCTCCCTTGAGGAGGGGTGGCATTGGCTTTGGTGGTCTGTAACCAGGTGTCCTCATTGGCCCTCTGTGGTCCCTGTCCAGAGGCAGATCCAGGATGAGCCGCTGGATTCCCTTTCAAGCTCCGTCCGCCGGCAGGCCATGGAGACCCTGGCCCAACTGAGGTGTCCACACCCTACCTCTGGGCTCTGCCTGACTCTCCTGGGCCCTTCCCTGAGCCCCTCCCTGTTCCGAGCCTCCCCCTCTCTCTGGCCCAGTCCTTGCCTGGCTGTCAGCCCTCCACACCCACTCTCCTGGTGCCACCTCATCTCGTCCTCCTGTGGCTCAGACCTCAGCATCCAGGCCTGTGCCAGGGGCCCTCACCCCTGCCCCGCACCTGCAGCCCCTCCCTCATTCCATGCCTCACTTCCTTTTTCCTCCCAGCCACACCCAGCCCATCCTGGGTGTGCAGGAGAGGGCAGAGCTGGTGAACACGTGTGTGCGGAGTGTGTTCTCACTGCCCTCGGTGCAGGCCATGCAGGAGAGAGACGAGGCCAAAGCAGAGGACATCCAGGTGAGGTGCCTGCCCCCCTTCCCAGGTCCCCAGGACTGTGGGGGGTCTTGGAATGAGCTGTGTCTCTGGACACTTAGTGGACAAGAGAAAGGGCCAGTTCTGGGAGTAGGTCGGAGCCTCTACCCTATGCCTTAGCCATGTGGCCTGGGTCACTCACCTCACCTCCCTTGGCCTGAGCTGGCATTTGATAAATTTGGTGTGTAAATAAAATCACTGCAAAGGCTGCCTCTCCATCTGGAGGCCCTTCACTTCTGGGCCCTGCCCTGAGAGAGGGAAGTGGGCAGATATTGGTATGGCCGGAGGAGGTGGCCAGGGTTGGGGGGCAGGTGCTGAGGACTGAGCCATAAGGAAGCAAGATTGGGGAGCTGGAGCAGACACCTAGAGGAGCAGAACCTCAAGGGGCTCATTTGAGCATCTTTGAAACTTCTGTGAAGTCATCGTGGGAGAAGTAGTGGAAGTGACCTTCAGTCCAGGATGAGTGGGGAGCCAGGTCGGGGGGAAGGTTGAGGAAGAGGGATTCCAGCTCAGGGTGAGGCATGTTCACCCATCCTCCCCCTCAGCCAGTGTTAGCTGAGTACCTCTCCTTACCTGGCTCAGTGTGGGGACCTCACAGTAGTGCTCGGGGTGGAGGAACATTATCAGAGGTTCACTCAAATAAATGTAAAATCGCTGCCAGCAGGCAGTGCTACACACAGGAAAGTCTTGGTGCTGTAAAGAGCCTGAAATGGGAGACATGGCCTAGAGAGGGTCGGGGTCATGATTCTGGAGCTGAGGTTAAAGAGAACTCAGAACTGAAGGAGGGGGCAGAAGGAAGGGTATTTCAGGCAGAGGGAGCAGCCTGTGCAGAAGCCTGTGGACAGACCGTATAGTGACTGCAAGGACCACAAGCAGGCAGTGTGGCTGGAAACAAAAGTTCAGGGAGGCCAGGCTAGAGAGCAGGGGAAGCCAGCCCATGCACACAGCTGGAGGGCGCTGGGTGTGGAGCTGGGGCCCTCAGAGAAGACCAGAAGGCCAGGCAAGGCATCATTTACAGGCTGGGAAGAGCAGGCGGCCCTGTTGCAGTACCAGGTCTGGCCAGCAGAGGGAAGTTCTGCACAGTAATCAGCAGCAAATGGGAGGGAAGAAGGAGGTAGTTGGCAGTGAAGTTTGCTTGGTGGTTGTGGTGTACCTCAAAGGGCCACTAGCTCCAGGGTGTGTGCAGACTCAAGAAGCCTGGACAGTGACAACCTGGGAGATATACTTGGGGAGCCAGCAGAAGGAAGGGAGGCAAGGAAAGGAGGGCCTTCCCCAAAGTGGCACAAACCCACTGCTTAGCATTATGTGTGTGTGGTTGCTGCAGCCATAGAACAATTCCAGCATTGCTGCATGGTGAGCCAAGGGAGAGACGGCTCCTTTAAGGCAACTTGGAGACTCCATTTGGGTCTTAATCAGAGCAGAGATAATGAAAGTAAGGCTGGCCCTCATTCCTTCCTCCCAACCTGACAGCTCTTTGTTGTGTGACTTTGGACAAGTGTCTCCTCAATTTGAGGATGTAGATATGCAAATCACCAGGCACTCACCTGGCCCATGGCAGAGTCTCAATAAATGCTGGTTCTCTGCTTTCTCCCCCTTTAAGGTAGGAAGTACAAGGATCATAATTACCACTTTGTTGGTAAGGAGACTGGAACCCATGAAGGGGGAGTGATTTGTCCAATATCACACATCAGGCGAGTCTCAGAAGTGGGGCCAGAAAGTGGTTCTCATGGGCCCAACTGCCCCCTCTTTCCTGCCACCAGAGAGGGTGCTAACCCCTAGCAACTGGGTCCCCTCCTGTCCACAGACACTTTACCATCAGACCTTGGATGCTCTACAGACATTGCTTAATGCCCTCTTTATTGAAGACCCCACTCCTGCTGGACTGAAGAGCATCTTGGAGGTGCAGGGAGTGGGGCTGGGGAGGGAGCAGGGAAGGGCAGAGGGAAGCAGGGAGTCAGGTCTGAGCAGAGGGAGGCTGGAACAGGAGTGATCTGACCTCAGGATGTCATTTTGGGCCAGCGTTCTGCCTTCCGGTGCTACTCACAGGCCCTGTCCCAGACTCCTGCCACCGCTAACTCTCTCCCCACCCCCCACTCTATGTAGAGCCACCCCACACAGCTCCTGCGATTGCTCCCATAGCTTCCCTCTCTCTGTCTGTCCCTGTCTCTTTCTGCTCTCATGACTCTCCTCCTTTCATCTCTCTCCTCATTGACCTCCTTCCCTCTAGTCAGTGAGGCCTGTTCTCAGCTCCTGGACCCCATCTCTCCCTAAGCCCCACAAGAGGAGGAGGGCTTGGTGAGCTGCCTCTGTGCCCTCTCTGAAGCTCCTGCAGATGGTGCAGGCTGGCCTGTCTGCCCAGGAGCAGGGGCTAGCTGAGTCTTGCCCTGGTCCCCACAGCCCCTAGGGCCCTGGATGAACTCTGGGAAGGCCCACGAGCGAGCGCGAGCTGTGAACAGCAACGTCTCCGTGTTGAACCACACACTCCTGACTCTGCCTTTCTTCGTGAGTGTGGCCGGGAGGGGTGGACGCTCCTAGGGAGACTCTTCCCAGCTCTGAGGGCTCTGCTGTCAGGGCTCTGTTCACCAGTTTCTGTGTAGTATTACTGAACCTGTGAGACTCCGCCCCTGTGATTACGACACCAACAGATGTCCTCGGGGTTCCCCGCACTGGGGCTCCTACTGGGGAGGCTCATCCTTCGCATTGGGGATCCTGACGAGGAGATTGGCCGGGAGGCGCTGGACGGCATCACCATCCTCTACACTATCCTGGAGCTCCAGAAACGTAAGCCCTGTGGGAGCCCCCAGTGCAGGTCTCCTGGGAGGCCACTCAGCTGGTCTTTGGCTGGAGACAGGCAGTGAGGCCCTGGTGGGAGATGGGAAGACCAGCCCGGGGTCAGATGGCCACTGGAAGCTGGTGTGAAGCCCTAGTTCCCACAGAACCAGGGGACAGAAGCTACCTACAAACAGACCTATTTTGATGTAAATAATCCTTTCTAAGCTTTTCCTCATCCTTCTGTGCTTAATTTGTGACAGTCATTTTCATGTCCCTACAGTACCGTATACACTCAGTCAAGATGGTCCCAACATCTTGTTTTCTTGTCTGTCTTCCCCACTCAAATGTAATCCCATGAGACTAGGGCAGGATTGTATCTTAGTCATAACTGTGTGCCCAAGGCCACATGGTGGGTGCTCTAACAAAGAGTAGGTCCTGTCTTAGGATCTGGAGTGGTGGAAGAATCTAGGGGCGACTCAATTTCAGGGAGCTAGTGATGTGGCATGCATTGTACAAGCCCCGACTCCTCTTTCTTTCCTCTAAAGTCCCATTCCGCCCCAGTCCAGGTGACCCTGGCTTGCTCCTCTGGCTTAAGCTCCTCTGGCTCTGAAAGAGTGTCATCGCCTACAAGGACCTCTGGCCCTTCCTAGCTGTTTTGCTTGTCTAGGCTTAGATTTCCTTATCTGTATAAAGATTACAGTAGAATAAAATCTACAAGCTTTGAGGCCTTTCCTAAGAGCTGGGCATGATGGTGCATATTTGTAATCCCAGGGAGGCTGAGACAGGAAGATATCAAGCTTGGGGCCAGGCTGAGCAACTTAGTGAGACCTTGTCTCAAAATAAAAAAGACTAGGGGTATAGCTCAGTGGTAAAGCACCCCCTGAGTTCAAACCTCTGTATTGGGGAGGAAAAAAAGAGTATATGTGAAAACCAGCCCAGTGTCACACACCACATGAGTCCTTTATGAAGTTCAAAGCCAGGAACTCCAGGTAGGGGTTCAGGAATGGCTGCCCTGTGGGGAGCAAGGGGTAGCCCTGAGAGGGGTACACAAGAGGGCCTCTGGGATGCTGATTGTGTTCTGCTTCTTGACCTGGGTGCCAGCTACCCTACCTGGGTGTGCTCACTATGTGAAAATAATTAAGCTGCTTATGCAGGATTTGGGTCCTTCCTTCAGTGGCTTTTTTTTTTTTTTTTTTTTTTAGAAGTAGTTGGACACAGTACCTTTATTTTGTTTATTTAATTTTATGTGGTGCTAAGGATCGAATCCAGGGCCTTGCACATGCTAGGCGAGAGCTCTACCACTGAACCACAATCCCAACCCCCTTTGGTGGCTTTTAATAAAAAGTTAAGAGCAAAGTCTGGTAAGGCCTCACCTGGAAGGTTCTTCTCTTGCAGGAGCCAGAGATAAGGAAGAGACCAACAAGAAGGAGCTGTACGAGAGCAACAAGCGCTTCCTGGGGCCCTACAACCCTGTCAGCCCATGCCAGAACATCCTGCGTGTGATCACGGTGACTGCTGCCCGTCACCCCGGGCCTCCCATGGGAGGGAGGGGAGGAGGACAGTGCCACACCCCAAGTGCCAGCTCAGCTTCCCCATAGCTCCAGCCATAGGAGCCCACCTGAGTGCCCCTCCTCCAGCTCATGCCACAACTTCCCTCTCCCTGACACCCAGCCTGAGTGCAGGGCCCATGCACCCCGACTTTTGTAGCTCTTCCCCAGAGGGTTCAGCCCTTGCTGATGTAGGCGGCATGCCCTCTGTAGCGGGTCAGGTAGTCTTTGAGCCTCTGGCTCTGGCTCTACGCTTCAAGGTCTGGAGCTCTCTCTGCACCTTTGTTTCAGGAATTTGGAGACTTCCTGGGGCCCCAGCAGGTAAAGGACCTGTTGCTGGCAGCCCTGGAAGGGCTGAAAGGCGGCTCAGAGGCTCGGGGGAAGGACTCCGGGGAGATGATGCAGCTGGCCTCTGAGGTCACGCTCAGCTCAGTGCTGGAGTGGTACCGCCACAGGGCGCTGGAGGTGGTAAGGCCTCCTGGGGGCAGAGGCGGGTGACCACTGGGGCCTGGGGACTCCCCTGTCCCTTCGGCCTGCTCATCCCTTGGCACAGCCTGTCTGACTGTGAGCAGGGTGGGAGGTGGTGGAACCCCCAAGCACTGGGGCAGGGCAGGGGTGGCTTACCACTCTCAGAGAAGCCGGCTCACCTGGCGGGGTGGGGTGCGGAGGTGGGACGCTCTCAGAGAAGCCGGCTCACCCGGCGGGGTGGGGTGCGGAGGTGGGACGCAGCCCCCTCTTCTCTCCCGTGCTGCTCTCCTCTTTCCTTCCTGTCCCCTCCCACCCCTGCCTCTGTTGCTGTCTCCTGTCTCCATCTTCTTTCCTCCTCCCCTCCCGCTCCCCTCCGTGCCTTCTCGGTTTTTCTGATGGACCTTCGTCCTGCCTGCTCATGGCTGTACTCCAGATCCCAGAAATCATGCAGGGCATCTATATGCAGCTGAGCCACATCCAGGAACCTCGGGCCCGTGAGGTGGCCCTGCTGCCCGTCTCCCTCCTGGCCAGCTCCTTCATGACGGAGGTTGTGGTGGCCCTGCTCATGTGTCCCCTCCCGCTGGACAGGTACCAATTGGGAGCGGGTTCTCAGCCACTACACCTCAGAGGGACAAAGTAGCTCCCCCCCAGGCTGGAAGCCCCTTCTACCTAGAGAAACCCCTCGCCCTCCCAGATGGCCCCTGCCCATGACCTGAGGTACTTAGACAACCATTAATCATTTCCTGAGCACTGCTGGGTGTCGTGCTGAGTGCCAGTACATTCTCTTGTTCTCAAAAAAGCTCCATTCTACGGATGAGGAAATTGAGACTCAGGGGAAGTTTCTTACTCTAGGAGCCCACTGAGCCATCAATAGAAGGAGGACCTAAACTTGGGTCTGACTGACTCTAAGCCCAGAGCTCTTAATGGTGTCATAAGAAGGAGGCCTGCATGTCCTGATTCCACCTCCAGCAGCTGGTGGTCTTGGGCAGGCTGCTTGCCTTCTTTGGGCTTCAGTTTCCCCCCCAGAAGCAAAAGGAGGAATTGATCCCTATATTTACACCCCAGGTGGGTGGTATGATGAAGTAATGCGACCAGCTGGGCTGAGCACCTGCTGGGCCTGTAGCTGTGCAGGGAGATGCCCCATGTTCACTGCCTCCAGGGAGCTCTTGTTTTGATGGGCAGAGGGGACGGTGGCCAGATGGTGACTAGTCTGGTTGACCTTGACCTCTCAGCCCAGGAAATGCTCCCACCATGTCTTTGAATAAATAAAACAAGGCAGTGGCTGATCAAAACCCTAGGATGATTTTTTTCTGAGTAAATGTGAAAGAATTATGCAGAGCTGTGCAAACAGCATTTTAGGGTATGTTCTAATAAGGACAGTTGGGGTCATTTGCAGAAGACAAGGAGATCAGCAGGGGAAGTGAGGACCCAGCCACACATCCTCCCATTAGAATGATCCAGCTCGGGGCTGGGGATGTGGCTCAAGTGGTAGCGCGCTCACCTAGCATGCGTGAGGCACTGGGTTTGATTCTCAGCACCACATAAAAATAAAATAAAGATGTTGTGTCCACCTAAAACTTAAAAATAAATATTAAAAAAAAAAGAATAGAATGATCCAGCATCTTTCAGATGCACTGATATCAGGGGCCTTCTTCTTGGGACCCCCAAGTAGACTGTTTCATATGACTTCCAGGGATCACATGTGATAGCAGAGTCAGACAGGATAGAGGACAAGGCAGAGGCAGGCCAAGCATCTAGGCACGATGCTGAAGGAGGCCCCTCTGCAGGTGCCAAGCCTGCACTTGCATGAGTTCTAGAGTGGGGACCTCCTTGAGTTTTGTGTCCTGGATGCTTGGGTCTGGAAAATGGTCTCTTGGGCCTCCCAGGTAAAGCTCAGGTTTGAGGAAAGGAGTCCCATGGGGAACACCCTGGCTGAAATGGAACCACAGGGACCAGTCTTTTACGCCAACTCTAGAGGCTTCACTTTTGAGGACTCCACAGGGACAATCCCATTAAAGAGTCACTGTTCCCGGCAGCGTCCCCATCATCCCCATCAGTTCTTTTTTTTTAATTGGTTGTTCAAAACATTACAAAGCTCTTGACATATCATCTTTCATACTTACTGCTAATTGATAGTTTCAGTCCAGATGCAATTTACCAAGTGGCCATAAAGACCATTTTTACCATAAGTAATGTTGCCTAGCAACATAGTTGACATACTATCTTTATCAGGTTTCCAGGGGAACAAAGCTAGAGAGTGAAGGGAAGGTTCAGATGCTCATGTAGAGGGGGAAAGGGTTTTTGTTAACCCTTTAGCACTCTGTCAACTCCCCATGGCAGGACTTCTGTGGGCTGGTTTCTGCTGCATTCAGGGGTTTCCCCTGCCTGGGGAACTGCCTGCCCAGGGGCAGGAGACATGCTCCCTGGTATTAGGTGATAAGGGTTCCCTTTGCCTTGGTTCCTGCTCACTGGTGTGAAGGGAGGAGCACCAGCTTTGGAGACATCAGATCTGGTCACTCCTTGCTTCTGTAGCTCGTTAGCTGTATCTTCTTGGATTAGCAATTGTGCCTCTCTGAGCTTCTCTTCTGCTTCTATCAAATGGGAATAACAATGCCTGCTTTGGGGGTCATTGTGAAAATTCATTTACCCTGCGTGGACCGGATTCTTTTTTGCTTCTGTAGCCCTAGAGATTTACCTAGTCCAGTACATGCTCAATAAATATTTGCTGAAATAGTAAATTGAATATAAAGCACCTGGCGTGGTCACTGGGCACAGGGTTCTCAATCACCATGAGCCTCCTTTCCCTTGGAGAGTGTTTTCTGGACCTTCCTTGCTGGCATCCCCTAACCATCCCCCTCCCCCACCTCAGTAATGGAGCAGAGATGTGGAGGCAATTGATACTGCGCAAGCCCAGCTGTGATGTCCGAGATCTTCTGGATCTGCTCCTGACCAGCTTGAAGGAAAAGCCAGTCACCAAGAAGGGCCGGGCCTCCATTGTGCCCCTGGCGGTGAGGACGCAGCCCACCAGCCCCACCATTCTCTTCTCCCTCCCTCCCTTCTTCCCTCCCGCTGTGTTCAGCTTAAAGGGCTCCAGCCCCCCCCACCCCCGCCAGTGATACTTGGCCTTCCCTGGGCAAGTCCCTGACTCTGGGCTCTTGGTTGTGATCCACTGGATGACACAGTGGTGCCACCTGTGGGGATTGCAGCTTGCAGCAGTGGGAACAGCATAAGCTGGAGGTGGGCTGGGTCCTCACCAGCCAGGGTGCGATGGAGGCCTCGCCCTTCTAGGTGATGGGGTTCTCTCTGCCTCTATCACCTTTAACCTTTACCTAGTTCACCACCTGCTCACCTTCCTGCTTCCACTCCTGCCCTGTGATCCCTACCAAAGCATCTTCCAGAATGCATACCTGCTCTTCTCAGCCCCTGCTTTGGCTTCCCGTGGCCTCGGAGAACGCCATGGTGCTCCTACCTGGTACCCCTTGCCCACCTTGCCTCCCTCCCCGGGCCTCTTGCTTGCTCTAGTGCAGCCTCACTGGTGTTTGTCAGAACTCCAAACATCCAGCAGTCTTCTGCAACAGGGCCTTTGCACACTCTGTGTCCACTCCTTGGAATGCCCTCCACCAAGCTAACCTCTGCTTATCCCTCAGCTCTCAATGCAAGCATCACCTCCTTGGGGAAGCCTCCCTGTTCTCCCTGACTTGCTCTGATCTGGGCATAGTATACTTTGCTTCACATACTTTATCTTGGAAGAATTTATCCCAGTTGTGATTTGGTAATAGTGGTGGGGGGGGCAGCTATTTGGTTAATTTGTGATATGCACAAGCCAGTACCTGTCCTATTTGGCTTACAATGATATCCCCAATGTCAAACACACCAGGCACCTAATAGGTACCCAACTATTGTTGGGGGGGCTGATTTGTTTATTTAATAGGTATTTGTTAGCATCTACTTAGTGCCAGGCACACTGATAAGTTCTGGGGATTCAGCAGCAAGACCTTCCCAGAGACAGCCTGTGCCTTGCCCAAGGTTACACAGCTAGCCAGTGGTGGCACCAGGACCCAAGCCCAGATCTCTGCCCAGTTCTGGGCACCTGTGTTGTGACTGAGGAAGAGGCAGGGAAGGCTATAGCTGGTATCTGAAAACCTGGGTTCAAGTTCCAGCTCTGCCCCTAAGGGGCTGGGTGACTTTGGGCAGCTGCTTCATTCCTCTGAGCCAGTTCTCTTCAACTGCAAAATGGAATCAAGACTGTTTTAATTCTCAGGAGGTAGGAAGGGATCCCTTACCATGAATCTTCCCAGGTCACATGACATCAAACCCTGGACCAAACCTAAAGTCAGGCTGTTCTTACTCTGGGGTGGGACCTGGCTAGAGGTCTGGGGTGGGACCCAGGCTCTCCCTGGCTGGGCCAGGGAAGAGCAAAGACCCAGGTCTAGCCTCCCAGAGCAGAAGTCCAGGCCTTAGGCAGGAGTGCAGGGAAGATGCCTTCTCATGCCACCAGCTCCCACTCCTCCCCCAGGCAGCCAGCGGCCTGTGTGAGCTGCTGTCCATCAACAGTTGTGTCTGCCGCGTGAGGCGCATCTACCCGCAGCTGCTGCTGGCCCTGCTCATTCAGGTGCATTACCACATCGGCCTCAACCTGCCCGGCCGCGTGGCTCCTCGCAAGGATGCCAAGACCGACACACAGCCGCCTGCCTTCGTACCTGTGCAGTATGTTCTGCCATCTCTCTTGATCCCGCTGTCCCTGGGGGGACAGCAAGACCCTCCACAAGGCTTCAGGGCAGTCCATCAATGGAAAGCTCTGGGACTAGACGAGAAAGCAGAAGCACACTTTTTTTTTTAAATAATGTTATTGTATTTTTTTATACCTTTATTTTATTTATTTATTTTTACGTGGTGCTGAGGTCTGGGGTGGGAACCATGCTCTCCCTGGGTTCAAGTTCCAGTTCTCGTGCCTCCCACATGCTAGGCAAGTGCTCCACCACTGAGCCACAACCCCAGCCCCAGAAGCACACTTTATTATTAGAGTTAATACTTCATCCAGCAGCTGTTTTTGAGCAACTGCTCTCTGTGCCCAACACTGCTTAGCACAGGAGCACAGGAAGCTGTCCTCCTCCCCCAGAAGCTCACCATTGAATTTTCTAGACATTATTTGTATTAGGTGCATGTGTAAGGCTCAACCAGTTTAATTTTTAATTATTTATTGGAATAAGTAGTATATGCACATGGATTAAAAAAAAAAAGACCTCACACAGGTACCCATTTTTGCTCCTATCTTATGCCATATCTTAGATCTCATCACACACAGAACTGTCTCATTATTATTATTTTTGGCATGAGGGATGGAACCCAGGGTGCTTAATCACTGAGCCATAGCCCCAGTCCTTTTTGTTTTTTGTCACAGGATCTTGCTAAGTTGCTTAGGGCCTAAGTTGCTGAGGCTGCCCTCAAATTTGTGATTTTCCTGCCTCAATTTCCCAAGTTGCTGGGATTACAGGTATATGCCATTGTGCCTGGCCTGTTGAGGATTTTTCTTATTAATTTGTAAGAGCTCCTTATATATTAAAGAAATTAACTTTTTGTCCTTTGTATTCTAGTTTTTAACTTGATCTGAAATTATTTTATTGTTTTCTGCCATTCACAAATTTATATATTTTGTACCAGGGATTAAACCCAGGGGCGCTTAACCACTGAGCTACATCCCGAGCCCTTTTTATGTTTTATTTTGAGACAAGATCTCACCAAGTTGCTTAGGGTCTCATTAAGTTGCTGAGGCTGACTTTAAACTCTCAATCCTCCTGCCTCAGCCTCCCAAACTGCTGGGATTACAGGTGTGTGCCGTGGTGCCTGGTTTAACTCTACATGGTGACATGGTGTCATTTGGGGCTGTTACAAGCAAATCTTTGGGACTGGGGTGAAGAGGAAGGGAGATGGGTAGGGTCATTTTTGTCAAAATGTAGGGCCAGATTGAGGAAATAAGAAACAGTGCAGAGGACACACTAGGAATTAATTCTATGTCCAGAAGCTTTGGCCTAAACACATACTCGTCCTGCTGTGTGAGGGAGGGCCAAGAGGGCAGGCCCAGCTGCAGCTGTCTGGACGCACTGAGCTCAGAGCTGTTCCCCTGGACCGTTGCTGGGGAGGTGACCAAAACTACTCTGCAGATGGAGCCACCCAGGAGGGAAGGCCGCTGCAGTGGCGGGGAAGCACTAATCTCCCTTAGCAGAAGGCGCTAATGCTCTAACTTGAAGAGAAAAACCATTTTTCTCCTCTGAATGTAAACCTAAACAACTCAGCTCAGCCACTCCACCAGCACAAGGGGTTCCTGGGGGAGGAAGAAGGGCAGAGACACCTCCCCCACACCCTCCCACTCCCTCCATGGCTGCTAGGGGATGCTTCTGACAGCCCAGGTCCCAAAGAGCCAGCACAAAGGCTCCATGTTTCTGATTCCAAGGGCCCTGGCCTCAGTTGGAGCTCTTTTTTCACAGTGGATTGCTCTACATTTAAAAAATAGTAGAAACACGTTGGGTGCAGGGGTGCATGCCTGTAATCCCAGCAACTCAGGAGGCTGAGACAGGAGGATCATGAGTTCAAAGCCAGCCTCAGCAACTTAGCAAAGCCCTGTCTCTAATAAAATATTAAAAAGGGCTGGAGATGTGGCTTGGCAGTTAAGGACCCCTGGGTTCAATCCCTGGTACCAAGAAAGAAAGAAAGAAACATAACAGATGAGGTGGTGCACACCTATAATCCTAGGTACTTGGGAGGCATGAGACAGGAGGATCACAAATTTGAGGCCAGCTTGGGGCAATTTAGTGAGACCCCGTTTCATAAAATAAAAAAGAGGGCTGGGGGTGCAGCACATGGCAGAGCATCCCTGTCCCAACCCTGTACTGAAAAGTAAACACACAGAAATGAAAGCAAATTCCTGAGGATGAGGCTCTCCTGATTTCTGACAGGATTTGTTCTGAATCACAAGAACTAGCAGTTCTGTCTCCTGAGCTCCTCAGATCAGTGCATGGTGAACCCTTCAAGCACGTGTGTATGTTTTGGAAAACTTTGTGTAAACTTAAACTTTATCCATTCATGTCAGTTTTTATCTTAGTAAAAGTTTGTGTATGCAGTCCTGTGCCTCTTAACAAGGTTTTGCTCAGTGGTGGGTATACCTTGGAGGTCCCGTAGGATCATGGTGGAGGCCAGGTGTGGAGTAGGCTAGACCATTGAGGTTTGCATAAGCACCACTGTGATGTTTGCACAAGGACAAGGTCAGCCCACAAAGCATTTCTCAGAATATATCCTGTAGTTAAGCTATGACTGACTGTATAAGAACAACTACAGAACCGTGCAATGCCAGGCATACGGTAGGAGCTCAATAGATGTCCCCCCCCACCAAAGCTCCTTGAGCTTACTCAGGAGCCTAAGAATGCAGAGGCCTGGTCAGTGCCCCGGGGTGTAAAAGGTTCCCAGGGGACTCTGCTGGGCACCCTGATGGTTCTTTCTTTTTATTTTCTTAGTACCAGGGATTGAGTCCAGAGCGCTTAACCTCTAAGCCACATCCATAACCCTTTTTATTTTTTGAGATAGGGTTTCGCTAAGTTGCTTAGAGCCACTCTAAGTTGCTGAGGCTGGTTTTGAACTTGTGACTGTCCTGCCTCAGCCTCCCAAGCAACTGGGATTACAGGCATGGGCCACTCTGCCCAGCGGGGAATCATTTCTTAAATGTCCCAAGGGAGAAAAGGACTCTGTCCTGGACAGGAGACTGAGTGTCCAAGTGATCAGAGAGGACTGACCTGCCAGGGGTCCACCCAGCCATGGGCTTGATGAGGAGTGGAGGAGAGAGAACCAGGTGGCTGGGGAGAGCCTGCTCAGCCTCTTCCTGTGGTGCATGAGGCTCGGTGGGAAGAGGGAGGGTGAACACCCCATCTTCCCAGGGAAGGAGATTTGCTTCTGTTTGCTCTCTTGTTCTCCAAGCTAAGTATTTTATGAGCCTCCCTTTGCAGACACACTGCTTACCTCTAACAACATGGGGGAGAAGCTTGTGGGGCAGGCGGCAGCTGATGGTGAGAAAGTGGAGGGCTGAGGGAGGCCTGGCCTGCCAGGGCAGGGGGACTGAGCGCTCGGCCCCCTTGTCTTGGCAGCTGGGTGGTGAAAGTGGTGAAAACCCTGCTGCTGAAGATGGGCTGCTCTTATGAGGCCACCGCCCTGGAGGACCAGGGTGGCTGGGAGCTCATGGGGCAGGCGGAGAACCACCATCGCGGAGTGTCTCTGCTGGCAAGGTGAGCCCTGGGGACACCTCAGGCAGGGGCGGGTGGAACCTCCAGATCTTCAGACAGACTTGGGTTCCCATCTCTCTGAGCAAGACTCATTGCTCCCTTTGTCAACTCGTCTCTGCAAGGGGCTATTGTCCTCCTTGGCAGGTGGACGACACCAACAGGAAAGGGGGCACTTACTCAGGGAAGTAACCGTGGACATAGTGGCCCCCGGCAGTTCTAGAGCCCGTAGGTTATTTACCAAGCACCTTTTCATAGGAATTTGGTTCCCACACCAATGCGGTGGGAATGATGGTGTCAGAGCATCCGGGAGGGGCTATGGAGACAGTCTGCCTGCATCTGTCGCTGAGCCCCTTCCCTGCTGTGTGACCAGGGTCCAATGACTGCCCCTCTGTGTCTCCATTCCCCCTTAGTAGTATGGAAATAGTAAGACCCACTTCTGAGAGTGGAGTGAGGATTAAATAAGGTATTTTTTTTTTTTAGTTATAGTTGGACACAATACCTTTATTTAATTAATTAATTTATTTATATGTGGTGCTGAACCCAGCACCGCCCCCATGCAAGGTGAGCGCTTTACCGCTGAGCCACAACCCCAGCCCTAAATAAGGTATTTTGAAGAGCTCCTGGCATGTGGTAAGCCCAGCACAGATTAGCTTTTGCTTCCATTCTGGTGCCTGGGACAGGCATTAATATACATTTTGCATAGGAACATGCCTAGCTCCAGAGGGCAGTCATGTGCCCAAGATCACACAGCCATATGTGACCCACTGGTCCTGACCAGAGCTCTCCTCTCAAATACACACAACTTCCTGTGGGTCAGGGGGGGCACCTTGATTTCTGTATGTGTCTCCTGTAGGAGAACCTACCCAGGAGTGCTCAGAAGGGCACTCTCCCCAGGGTCTTGAGGCACAACTACATTTACTGAGCACCAACTATGTTTTAAAGACCTTGTAGAGAGTTGTTACATGGATGATCTCATTTAGTTCTCTCACCATGACCATTGGAATTACATTATTACTATCCCAGGGTTACATGTGAGTATGCTGAAACCCAGAGAAGTTAAGTGTCTGCTTCAAATCACACAGCTAGTGCTAGGGCCAGAATTTGAACCCAGGCCATCCCACTCCTGTCCCTGTTTTCTGCCTGCCACATTTTCTTGATTTGCTGATTTTTGGAGCATTGTGCATGGGCCTCATACTTGAGCATGCCTTGGGACCATCTCCAGAGCCTGCTGCCCACTGCCCTGAGTTCCTGCTTTGGGAGATCTGGACTAGGACCTGAGAATATGCATTTCTAACAGATTCTCAGGTGTTGCTGATGCTGGGTGGTGGGTGAAGGGGGCACTTTGAGCACCACTAGCTTAGAGTGAGCAAGGCAGCAGGAATGGGGGAGCCCTGGGTTGGGGCTTCAGCTCTGCTGCCTTCCAGCGCTGTGCCCTTGAGCAGCCGAAGCTGTGAAATGGGGATAATAACAGCAACTGCCTTGAAGGTGATGGTGAGGATCAAATCAAGTAGCAAGGTCAAATGGTTTGGCTGCCACCTGGCGCTTAGTGAAAGGACCCTTACTTCCCCTCCTTCCTGTCCCTCCCTCCAGGTGTGGCCCTGTGCAGCCGGGGTCTTTAGCTTGTCTCTTACTGACTGGCTCTGTGCCCTCAGGCACACTGCCTTCTCTCCAGGCCTCAGTTTCCCCCCCCTGTAAAATGGAGGAGTTAAACTAGTTGCCTCAGAGATCCCACTGGGGAGAGGGCCTGGGAACACAGGAACCCAGATGACCCTGGCTTGGGGGATTTCCAGTGCCATGGTCGAACTCCGGCATGTCCCCTGAGGCAGGAGAGCCTGAAGGGACTGTCCCCCCACCAGGGCCATGGTGCACTACTCCTGCCAGGAGCTGTGCCGCATCCTCTACCTGCTCATCCCGCTCCTGGAGCGAGGCGACGAGAAGCACAAGATCACCGCCACAGCCTTCTTTGTGGAGGTACCAACTGGGACCGGGGCATGGGGTGGGGTTGTCCCGGGCCTCAGTTGACAACAGTAGTTATTTCTCCTGTGCAAACAGTGCTTTACAGAATCCAAAGCCTTTCTAGGGGTATGATTTCTCAGAATATGAAGACCCTACCGGTCTCCCTCCCTTGCCCACTCCTCTCCCAACACTGCCCCACTGCCCCACTGCCCCAGGCAACCACAACCCTGGCTGCCAGGCATCGAGATGCTGATATGAACTTGATCCCACCTGGCCTCCCACAGCAACTGCCCTGAAGGGTGATGGTGAGGATCATCATCACACGCATCTTGGTGCATCTGGAGACAAAGGACACTCAGATATTAACCTGGGGGGCCACAGTGTGACTTGTTTGAAGACGGGGAAGTCCAGGCTGTGGTGGGAGAAGAGGACACTCGAGGGAGGAGGTGTCAGGAAGGGTTTCCTGGAGAAAGGAACATCTAAGCTGAGCAAGTGTCAGTGGGAGGTGCTGGAGGGGGGTGCTGGGAAGTCAGGAAAAGCCGGAAGGGACAGATCCAGAAGGGGAGAGTCCTTAGCAGCGGTTGCTAGTATCTGTTGAGCACTTACCATCTTCCAGGCATGTGCTAGGAGCTTACATTTACTGCCATGATCCAGTTCATCCTCACAGTAATCCTATGATCACTTTGAAGGAGGAAACTGAGGCACAGATTTCAGTACCTTTCCCAGGGTCCAAGTGACAGATTCAGAATTCCAAGCCAGACATTTGGGTTCCAGAATCCCCCACTTCTTTTTCCTTTTCTCCCTCTTTCTTAGTTTATTCTTATTGGGATAAAATATATGTATATATATATAAAACATAGTATCTGCCATTCAGCCCTTTTAAGTGCACAGTCATCATCCTGCCTTCATCACCACCGTCCACCTCCAGAACACTTTTTTTCTTCTCCAACTGAAACTGTACCCATTAAACATTAGCTCCCTCTCCTATTCTCCTCCAGCCCTGGGAACCTCCATTCTTCTCTCTCTCTCTCTCTCTCTCTCGTATCAGGGATTGAACCCAAGTGTGCTGAACCACTGAGCCACATCCCCAGCCCTTCTTATGTTTTATTTTGAGCTAGGGTCTCACTAGGTTGCTTACAGTCTTGCTAAGTTGTTGAGGCTAGCATCAAACCTGCAATCCTCCTGCCTCAGCCTCCTGAGCCACTGGGATTCCAGGCGTGTGCCACTGTGCCTGGCTCCATTCTACTTTCTCTCCCTATGGGTTTGCCTACTCTAGGTGCTGCATGCAAGGGGGGACTTTGTCCTTCTCTATCTGCCATTTCCCTCCCTGCAGCGGTCTTCACAATTTATCCAGGTGTGGCATGTGAAAGGACTCCTCCCTTTGGATTGCTATCATATGAACACACCACAGGTCGTTTTCCCCTTCATCTGTTGACTGACAATGTAAAGTCCACTCTTCTGGCCACCACACTTTTCTGCCTTTTATGACCTGACAGTTGTCATGCAGGGGAGTCCTGGCTATTACAAGGGTTTATTGCTCAAAGGCAAGAGGCTCAATGTCTGCTTGGATAGTAAGAAGGATAAGGAAGGCTTCCTGGAGGTGGTGACATTTGGGCCTTGACAGGTGAGTAACGTTTGTCAGGTGGACAGGAGGCAGCAGGGGAACTTCTTGCATCTTTCCCCTCTCTGGGTGCACTGTGAGTCTGGAGAAGGGGCCATGTTGTGTTTGCATTCCATCCCCAGGCCCGTCCTAGGAGGGCTCCAGAAAGTGGGGTTTGGATGGGCAAGTGAGTGCCCGAAGGAACACTGCCAGGCCCTGTGGGCATCAGCAGAATGTGTCACCTCCAGGGAGGACAAACCTTGGAGTCAGGAGCCCTGGGCTCCAGCTCCTGCTCAGTTCTACTTCTGATTTCCCTGACTTGGTGATGGAAAGGGAAGGGACCATGTCTTGCAGGCCTACTGTGTACAGCCTTGTTCACGTGTCACCCTGTTGTAGGGACAAACAAGGCAGGGCACCAAAGATAGCAGGAAACAGTTTTATTTGGTTGCAACCAGGTTCTGAGGGTATAGATTTTGCTGTAATCAATTAATCCCCTGAACCCCCAGTTCAGGTAGTTTCAGAGTTTTATACCCAGCATGTAAGGGGAGGGGCTCAGAAGTTCACAGTCTGCAGAAGTTCACATGAAAGCAGCTTTTTCTTTCACTGTTCTGGGCAAGTAAACTCTTCAAGGACAACACCTGAGAAGCGGGGAGAGCTTCTTCTCCCCTTTCTTTCCTCCCCCTGCCAGCTGTTACCATGGAGCCCATTTGTAACTTACCTTAAAAATGTAGACATCTCTGTGAAGCCCAGCTCAAGGCCAGAGGCCTTGTTTGCACATTTCTTCAAAGTATTATACTGGATATGTTTGTGAAAAACTAGTAAGGGGTGTCCAGCACCTGGAGTGCTGGTATCTTCTCGGCCAGTGGCCAAGTAAACAGGGCGACATGAAAATTGGAAGTTTATCTACATTGGACTCTTTTGCAGAGACTCTTTTGCTGACAATCGTAAAATCAGCCATGGTGGAGAGGGCTTTTCTGTGGAGAAAGGGGGTGCCACTTCAACCCCATCAGTCTGCACACAACCTTGCAAATAATTGTGGTGCTTATGGTTGAGGGAGGCCAGGGGTAGTTTTCAAGGCCACACATCTCAGGGAGTGCAGAGATTCTGCCCTGGCTGGTCTCTTGGGAGGGGCTTCTCTCTAAGTCTGCTAGTGGCTGACACACAGATTCTTGGGGGAGGGTGTGAAGGTTGGAACTTGGTAGACCTCAGGGGTGTCTCCAGGTCCACTACAAGGTCAGGGACTCCAGATTTTCTGATCCCAGCAATCCTTAGGAGCCCTGATCACTGGCCCTGCCTCTGGGGCAAGGGTCGTCTTGTGGGCTCAGGCTTTTCCACCTCCCCAGCAAAGGTGCCTGTGCCTATGCCTGCACCTCATAGCCCTCTACCTGTGATTGTCCTTGTGTGTGCTTGCTGCTCCAAGGGCAGGTAAACTCAGGGAGGGAACTCTGTGACTTGGGTGAGTCACTTAGCCTGCCTGTGCCTCAGTTTCCTCACCTGCAATTTGAAGACCGAATTGCCGGCCTCACTGAATTTCAATGAGGATGACATGTGCTCACATGTGTCCTTAGAACAGAGCCTGGCACCTAGAAAGTGCTTTCTGTGTGTCAGCACAGCCAACATCACTGTGCCTCTCCTGTCTGACCTGGTGCCAAGCCGTGTGGAAGGACAGGTGGGTGGTGGGTGCAGCCACTCTTCCCTGTCCCCTCCCTCTGGTCAACCGCCCACCCTCTCCTGCAGCTCTCCCTGTGCCCTGTGATCCCTTCTCACAGACACAGATCTTAATAGTGGTGGTAGGTATTAGGCATGGGCACAATGGGACACATGTTCATGAGGATAACGGCAGAAACTGAAGGGAGGGCATGAGGAAGAGGAAGGAGGGCAGTGGGGACAGGGGAAGGGCAGTCCTCAGGAAGGAAGGGGCCAGAGTTCATGTTGGGCTGAGCTCATGCTGCAGGTGTTCCCTAGTCTCACACTTCACCCCAGAGCTCAGGTTAGGTACCCAGCCCAAGGAGGAAGCCTTGATCTTTGCCCCCAAGGAAGCCCCCAGGTGGCCAGGAGGGGCACACAGGGCAGAGGGGCCCTGAAGGTTTCCAGGTGCTGCCTTGGGATGTTCAGGTCCAGCATGGCTCCAGCGGTTGGGTTTTGGATGGAGCCATGGAAGGTGGTGGGGGTCAGAGAGGAGGTGGGCATCCCAGCAGAAGGGCTTCCTGCCAGCACAGAAGGGACAAGACAGCCCAGCCATTCTGGGAACAGTGGGCAGCTTGGGTGGAAGCTGTGGGCTGCCGGGTGGGCATGGTGTGAATGAGGCCACAGGGGCCAGCAGGGGCTGGATGGCACAGGCAGGGAGAGGCACAGGGCTCTGAGCTGGGGAGAGACATCGTTTTTGCCACGAGGTGTCGAGGACATGCAGAGGAGGTCTCCAGCCAGCTGCTGGTTTTCCAAGTCTGCAGCTCTAGGCGGAAGCGGAGCCTGGTTTTCCCCAAGCGTGGGAGACCTGTGGGCCACTCGCACCTCAGCCTGGGAGTAATTGCCGTTGGTTTCCTCAGCTCCTCCAGATGGAGCAGGTGCGCAGGATCCCCGAGGAGTACTCTCTTGGGCGGATGGTGGAAGGCCTGAGCCACAGTGACCCTGTCATGAAGGTGTTGTCCATCCGAGGCCTGGTCATCCTGGCCCGTAGGGCTGAGAAGGTGAGTGGAAGGCAGAGGAACACCTAACCTAGCCTGGCCCTGGGCTGGAGGAGTATGGAACTCAGCCATCCGCATCTCAGCTCATGGCTGGAATCAGAGCCCATTTCTGTCCATCCTCAGTGGTCTCATCTGTACAATGGATCTACCTTTGTAACCTTTACGTGTTATATTCTTTTTGAATACTTTCTAATCAGGGTTTCCCACAATGACTCTGAAGGCAGGTGCTAGGAGGGAAGGGAATGGCAGTAGTTATTATTATTTTATAGATCATCATTATGGTTGGAGGAGGCCAGGGGTCATTTTAAAGAAAATATTTATTTTTATTTGGTGCTGGGGATTGAACCCAGCACCTCACATGTGCTAGGCGAGCACTCTACTGCTGAGCCACAACCCCAGGCCCCCCCCCCCTTCCCCCCCCCACCTCACCCCCGTTATTGACATTTTTAAAAGTGCTTTGTTTTTCTGTTGCACTGTTGCAGCTCAGGATGTAGCCAGGACAAAGGGACAGGGCATAGCTGTAGGAAGCTGACTGAAAATGCAAGATGTCACCTACCTAATCCCAAAGATCCTAGAAATCCAGGCCAGGAAGGAGTTAATAAGGCCAAAGAAGGCTTCAGGGAGAGGGAAGAGCTTGAGTGAGGGCATTCCAGGCAGGTGCCAGGGAATACACAAAGGCCGGGGGATTGGAGTTGGGCCACCAAGTGCAGCTGGTGAACTAGAGGCCAAGTCTCCTACCTGCTAGCCCAGATAGGAACCCCTCTCCCAAATGGCTCTGTTCCACAGACGGCCAAGGTGCAGGCCCTCCTGCCATCCATGGTAAAGGGCCTGAAGAATGTGGATGGTGTGCTCGTGGTAGAGGCGGTCCACAATCTCAAGACCATCTTCAAGGGGCAGGACCGGAAACTGATGGACAGCTCAGTCTATGTGGAGATGCTACAGGTCCTACTTCCGCATTTCAGTGATGTAAGGACTCCCGCAGGTTGAGGGAGGGGTAGGAAGTGGGGTCCTCTACTAACTTGGGGGCTGCAATACCTCCCTTGCTGGCCCTACCCCATTGGGTTCTGAGTAGGGCCCCAGCCCAGAGGAAGGGGCACCTTGTTTCAACTGGTCCTTATCTTCTTGTAATTGGTTCATCCAGAGAAGATCCCTTATTCTAATTGGTTCCCCCTGGAGGGAGCTAATCAAGTCTGACCAGAGAAGGTGATCATATTGCTGTTGGTTCACCTAAAAAAGGGATACTTTTTTTTTTAACCAGTCCTGGTAGAGGGGGGCATTTCCCCACTTGGCACAAAGGCACCTTTTAGTGAGTGAAGGCCCTGGCTGAGAAGAATGAAGAGAACTCCATACCTAGGCTTGGGGGAGGAGTAGTGGCCCCAGACAGCCCCACTGGGTGGCTTGGCTGTTCTTTGTCTCTGTGTCTTTGTGCCTGGAGGGCCCCTCAGAATGAGGGAAAAGAAGGCCCTGGAGCCTCCTCCTGGAGGAGGGGCGTTCTGAGCCTGGGGTCTGCTGCAGTCAAGAGAGGATGTGCGCCTCTCCTGCATCAACATATACGGGAAGGTGGTCCAGAAACTTCGGCCACCCCGCACTCAGGCCATGGAGGAGCAGCTGATCAATACCTTGGTGCCCCTACTGTTGATCATGCAGGAGGGCAACACCAAGGTGGGCCAGGTGAGCGTGTGAGGCACTGGGCCTGTAGCTATGTCTCCCTTTGTGGAAACAAACCCGGACCACAAACAACCCATTGGGGGCGGTTATTTATGTCCAGCCACATCTGTCTTCCCAAAGTGTCTATGTCAGGATTCCCCCTGAAAATGCCTGACTTCACTTGTACCCCTTCAAATAGGAATTGATTTTTCCAAAATCCACTTTTTATACTTTTTATTTTCCTGGAACATGTTCTGAGTGTCTTAGAATTTCATAGTTCTGGTATTCCCTTCCTCTTGATCCCAGAAATGTGTGAAGACCCTGTTCCGCTGTTCTTGTTTCATGACTTGGGAGTTGCCAAAAAAAGCTTATAGCCGGAAGCCCTGGGACAAGCAGCCACAGGCGGTGGCCAAAATCTGCAAGTACCTTGTGAGTTTCCAGACTCTGCCCAGGCTCCTTACGAGTGTGTTGCAGGTGGGGATCCCATCCTTCTTTTATCCTTCTCTGCACACCAGCATCCTGACAATTTCCATGACCACCTACAACTGGTTGGCTCTGGAAAACCCATCTCTGACTTCTCTGCCCACCTCTGGTGGTCCCTCTCCACTGGCTTACTGGACCAGTGACCCCTATGGGGGTCACTGCGAGCTAGCACGTCTCTTTTGAACTTTAAAGACTTCCCTTTCATTCTTGTTCTGACCCTCTAGGTTCTCAAAGCAGAAACCTAGAATCATCCTAGACGACTCCTTTTTCTCACCTTCCACATCTGATCAATCTTAAAAATCCTTACTCTCTCTCATTGGGGCCATGAGTCTAGCTATCTGGTGGGTCTCCCAGCCTTTAATTTTAATCTACTCCCCTTCCAGACCACCAGTGTGGCATTGTTAAAACACTAGCCTGAGCCAGGTGTGGTGTGCACGCCTGTAATCCCAGCGACCAGGAAGGTTGAGGCAGGAAGATTGTGAGTTCAAAGCCAGCCTCAGCAAAAGCGAGATGCTAAACAATTCAGTGAGACTCTGTCTCTAAATAAAACACAAAATAGGGCTGGGATGTGGCTCAGTGGTCAAGTTCCCCTGAGTTCAATCCTGGCACCCAAAACAAAACAAAACAACACTAGCCTGTCTCTCTATATATTTGCACGTACAATATATATTATATGTTTATATTATATATTTATACATAATATATATGTTTATATAATTTACATATTATATGTACATATAATAATAATAGATAATATTTTCTGTGTTGCTCAGATGGAACCTGGACCTTGCATGTACTAGGCAAACATGTGAGTTACACCCACAACCCCTAGCCTGTACAATGTATCCCTGCATAAGGGGTTACAGTGGCCTCCTTTTCTGCAATAGCAATTCCCAGGGTGTATTCCCTGTGACACTAGTTTCACCAGATATGCCCCGGGTGAGTGTGGGGAGAAGTTCTAGGATGAATAAATTTAGGCAATGCTTCATGATGTGTGCATCTCAGCACATGAAAGTCTCTGAGATGTTTTGTGCTGAGGAAAAGCATTTGTGGTTGTTGACTTCAAGGTAAATTAATTTAACCACAGAAGCCCCTCTCTAGGTGGTACCTGGGGGCAGCCTGAGTAGGAGCAAACCATGCTTGTGCTGAGAAGGACAGCACTGCAAATGCAGAACGTTTGGCAGGCTTTACCATCGAGTCCCAATCTCTCCTCCCTGTTGTCGTGGGCAGATGAGATTAGCTTGGAAGGTTTAGGAGGAGCTCTGTTGAATCAGCCCTGTGGAAGGGAGAAGAGGGGTCGGTGGCAGAGGAAGAAGTGGAGCTGCAGTGGAGCTTCAGCGGAGGTCTCAGCCAACCCTAAGACCCTGAAGTGAGAGTATCAAAATGGGCTCAGGGGTCAGGCATGCATGTGTGTGTATATGTATGTGTGTGTGTGTGTGTGTGTGTGTTTCCCCTAAGACTGGGTTTCACTGTGTTGCCCAGGCTAGCCATAAACTCCTGGGCTCAGGCAATCTTCCTGCCTTAGTCTCCCATGGAGCTGGGATTGCAGGAATGTGCTACCACACCTGGCTGGAGTCAGGTCTTTATGCCCTTGTGTCCATCTATCCCTGGATGCCAATCACCCTGGAAAGGGACATGGCCTGGGTCAGGCAGTTTTCACCAGGCAATCCCAATAGCTGGGGGACTAAGCTCTTCCCACGTGAAGGTGTAAGCAGGCATCTTGCACCCTCACAGGAGTTTAACATAAATATAAAAAGTAACAAGGCCCCACGGCTATCAGCCACACTCAAAGCCTCTGTAGTCAAGCCTCTAATATTATTTCCATCACTTTACAGAGGGGAAAGAGGTCTGGAAGAAGTTTGGGCAGTGTTGCTAATTCACATACCTACAGTGGCTAGGCAGACAGTGCTCACGAGTGACATGGATATAGTGCAGCCTGTGAGCTGGGAGAGCCCTGGCTCTGTCAAAGGCCAGGTCCTCTGGTTTCAGGAGAAAAGTTTGAAACCTACATTTTAAAGACATTAACAAATTATCAATTTAGCTTATTTAAAACACTGCTGGCCACTGCTCTGCCAGCTACTTGTGGCACCTAGCTCATGTCCTGCATGGCAGACCTCTGTGGATTCTCACTTTCTTCCTTGCTCTCCAGGCCATCAACAGCTTTGCTCATGTGAAAGTCATATGAGCTTCAGCTTTAAAAAGGGGTCAGTACTGTGGCTACTGCCACAGTAGCCAGGTGTGGTCGTGTACGCCTGTCATCCCAGCAACTTGGGAGGCTGAGGCAGGAGAACTGCAGTTTGTGGCCAGCCTCAGCAATTTAGCAAGGCCCAAAGCAACTCAGCAAGACTCTGTCTCAAAGTAAAAAATAAAAAAAGGGCTGAGATGTGGCTCAGTGGTAAAGTGCTACTGAGAGCTACATTCCCAGTACAAAAGAGAGAGAGAGAGAGAGAGAGAGAGAGAGAGAGAGAGAGAGAGAGAGAAGAAGAAGAAGAAGAAGAAGAAGAAGAAGAGGAGGAGGAGGAGGAGGAGGAGGAGGAGGAGGAGGAGGAGGAGGAAGCTATATTGTTAATAACCTGTTGAACCTGCTGTTCATTTGTTCATTCATTCATTCATCCAACACTTTCTGGGCACTGGTTTCAAGCCAGGCCCTGTCCAAGTGCTGAGGACTCTAAGCTTGAGTGAAAGGGCCCTTATCTTCAGAGAGCTCCCTGTCCAGTGGGAAGACGGTATAAATAATCACAACACGCTGCCATGACAGGATGTGCAAGATGCTGTAGAAGCATCAGGGTGGTAGGTGAGCTCTGCCTGAGGGTCACAGAAGGCTTCTGAGTTGAGGCTGGAAGGGTGAGAGGTAATTTATTGGTTGAAGAGAGGGAACAACCTTCTGAATAGGAGCAATTGCTTGTGCAAGGCATAGATCTGGGGCAGCAGGCTATATTCTTGGTCTGCAGCAGGTTGTGTGGCAGGTGGAAGTAGTGGGGAGGGGGCAGGGGGTGTGTTTTGGAAGAACAGTGTTCTAGATCTGCATTAGACTCTCTGAAGGCATTGCATGCCAGGCCCAGGAGGTTAGACCTCAGTGTGCAGGGTCTGTCAACAGGAGAATGATCCGATCAGATTTCTCATCATCTCTCTTCGCCTCTTAGCTGGACACCTCCTTGTTCCTGCTCATCAAACCCATTCTGACTACTACTGTCAGGCTATTTTACCCAAACACTGCTTTGTCACTGCCCTGCCACAAATGAATGCTGGCTTCCTACTTTCCAATGCATGAGTAAGTCCCATTCCTGTCTGGATTTTAAGAGCCTCCAATCCCTAGTTTATTCCCCCCATTGCTCTATAACTTGAATCCTTCACTCTGGTCAGATCTATCTCCTTGCCTGTCATGTCCATTCTGATCTCAGGAGCAGGATCTGCATTTGGGAACTTTCCCTTGGGCATCAGCAAGGGAATGGATTGGAAGAAGGGATACACAAGACAGGAACACCATTGCAATCAGCTAAGGGGAGATGAGGCCCCCTTTGGGAGCCTCAGGGAGAGGGCAGAGATATTTAGGAAGCAAGGAGACAAAAGTGTGACTATTGGGCAGGGTCACTATTTCTAACTTCAAGATGGGTAGATGGGGAATGAATCTCTCTGAGGACCCAGCACTTTTGGGTTTCTCTTTGCTCCAGGTAAACACCCATCGAGAGAATGCCTTCAACTTCCTCGGCCAGAGCTTGGAGTATACCAAGAACTCAAGGGCCTCCCTCCGGAAATCTTCAGTCATGTTCATAGGTAACCTGCTCTAACACAACCAGTCCTGCTTCCAGGGGTCTGCCTGCTCTCCAGTCTGCTTCCTTCAAGGCTGCCAGCCCATCCAGTACCTGGGCAGACGCCTCCCCTTATGTGCAAGGCTTGGCCAGCCATCAGCTGTGATGCATGTTACAGTGGTCTTCCCTCCTCAAAGATTGTGGCTAAGAAGTGGGCCTCAGGCTGAGTCAGCCTTAAGCCTTTGTACAGGTCACAATCCTGGCAACTATACACAGCAGACTACTATTTCCCTTTGGAGTACAGCATGGGTCCGAGCTAAGCAGCAGCCTAGGCAAATCCCCCATTGACTGCAGCAGTAGGGACTAACTGGGTAGAGAGTCAAGTAGAATCTCCCTTCCTGTGTGACTCCAACTGGCTCATTTATTCCCATGGAGCCTCAGTTTCCCCATCTGTAAAATAAGGATCAACTCCTATTTCATAGACTGGATGAGAATATTTTTAAAAAGGTGAGGCCTGCCTCATCAAGGTGTTCAATGTTAGTTGTTTTCATTCTTCTCTTTCCCACAATCACAATCCCTGCCTTTCTGTGAAGAAACCAAATAAGTTACCCTTGTCCCAAATCCTTCCAAACAACCCTTCTGATGGCATGTTGGGGTACCACCCCCTGTTCCTCTACCTTGCCTCCAAATAACCATGCTCCCTTCACTGAGGACCAGGAGACCTTGCTGCAGACAGGCCTCAAGGTGATGACCTTTGTAAAGTGAATGTTCTTTTATTGCCTTTCCTCAATTAATTTGTTGTTTTTCATCCATCCATTCATTCACCCACCCAGCCAGGCAGCCAGTCCTGCATCCACCCATCCAGCTAACCATCCATCCACCTATCCACCCATCCACCCATCCACCCATCCACCCATCCATTCACCCATCCATCCAGTTAGCCAGCCAACCAGCCAGCCACCCACCCACGTATCCACCCATCCAACTAGCGAGCCATCCATTCATTTATTCGTCCACCCACCCATGCATCCATCCTTCTGTTTGTTTGTTTGTTTTTTTTTTTGGCAAGTATTGGTTGACACCTACTATGTACCAGGCATGATGCTTAGGCTAGAGAAAGGAAGAGCCCCTTGGAAGGTGATGCTGATGGGGACAAGGAGCTGGGGAGATGGTCTGTTAACATGATCATGCTGGGACAGAGGAACAATGCCTAGGACTGAGGGCATGCCTGAGAATGTAAGGTGTGCTCAGAAGTAGCTTCTTACATGGAACGCCATCTATTTCCTGGTTGCTGATTCAAGTCTTGCTCCAAATCACCCACTTCTAAAAATGTTAGTGTTTAACAGGCCGTGCCAGACCTGTGCTGGGGAAACAAAGCTGAGCAGAGGCTGGCTCTGCTCACAGACAGCTCCTGACACATTGCAGTGCTTTTTTACCTCTTCTGAGTCATAAATCTTCTGTGAGACTTGAAAGTTATGATCACTACTCTAGAAAAGGGCACAATATGCACACACTTTTGCATGTAATTTTAGGATTCTCAGAGACTTCCCTTTCCACTCTCACTCCCCAAGTATACCTAAGATCAAGAAACTGCTGTCTGGTGGAAGATAAAGATTCATAAATCACAAGTAAAATGCAACATAGTATAGACAGAGAAAACTCTGGAAACATAGACAGGCACCTAACCCAGCCTGGAGGCAGGATCAGGAAGGATTTCTTGCTAAACGGAACATAAAAGGACAAGTAAGCTGTGAGGCAAGGACCTGCTGAGAAGTGAGAGGTTCAGGGACCTGCAGGTGCTGTGGGAGCCAGGCACACAGGCTGGTAGCAGCAAGAGATTTGGCCGTGGGGACACTGGGAGCAGTTCCCAGCTACTGAGCTGACCCAGCACAGCTGAGTCTCAGTCCTTCTGGGGACTCTGCTAGCAGCCTGCCTGGCAGGTGTGCAGGGTGCAGAGCATCCTGCATGTTACTGTTGCTCACACTTCCCTGAGGAGTGGATAGCAGGGGCAGCTCCTCCCATGTCACAGCTGAGGAAATTGAGGCCCAGCAGAGTAAGGGCCCAGCCTGGGGTGGCACTGTCAGTCCGCTACAGCCCAGATCCTGCCCCTATCCTGATGCTATCCCTGCCTGCTGGACCTTCCCCAGCCCCTCTTAATCTGATCCCAATCAAAATAAAGTTCTCCTTTCATGCCCTCAGTTGTAGGCTGCAGGAGGACAAGGAAAGCTTCCCTGAGGGCCTGGTGTGGGGATGAGGTGGGTGGTGTCATAATCAGATGGACACCCTCACCTTTTGGATTATGCTCAAGGGTCCCTGGTCCCCTGCATGGAGAGTATAATGAAGGAAGACTGGCTGAATGAAGTGAAAGGTGGTAAGTAGTGCCTGGGTGGGTGATGTGTCTGGGGCAGTGATTCAGCAAACAGGATCAGAGTGGGCAATAGGAATGGAGGGCATGTCCTAAGGCAAGGTCTTCAGCTCACTTCAGCTCTGCTCCTTGTTAGCTGGGGCAAGCACAGTGTTAGATGCCTTGGGGCTGTTAAGAGGCAGAACACACAGCCCCACTCTGGGGTGCTTACATCTTATTAAAGAAATGAGTTTCAAAAAGGATAACAGAAACCACATCATGCAGAGTGAATAGTCTAGACCCTTAAGGGGACACATGTTCATTTTGTAACAGTGAAGACAATGGGAACATGGAGGCGGGCTGGGGCGATCCGAGGGCTTCCTAGAGGAGGCTGGTTTTGATTCAGGCATTGAAAGGTGTGAACAATCAAGGGCTGGGAGGAAAGTGAGATGAGGGGAGGTCGAGAGAGGGCACCTAAGCCAAGGAATGGAGGAAGGATGAGGTGTGAGACCTGCTGAGGGATCTTAACACGTGGCCTTCCTCCTCCCATGACTCAGCTCTGGAAAACTTGAGACATGATCCAGAAGCATCAGTGTGCATCTGTGCGGCCCAGGCCCAGGACCACATCCTGGCCAGCTGCTGGCGGAACTCATGGCCGCTGCCACGTGGGGACTCATGGATGTGTGACCCAGCCACCACTCACCGCTGGAGCCCCAGCTGTGAGAATCTGCCCACTTCCCACCAACGGCGCTCCTGGATCATGCAGGCACTGAACTCCTGGAAGATGTCGTTGAAGCAGTGATGTCCCAGAGTCCCCATCCGTGCTCAAGGTGGCCAAGTGCAACTGTGCTCACTATAAATGCCCGGTGGCTTACCTCTCCATCGTGAGCGTTTCCCCATGGGAGATGCCCCAGGCTCCAAGCAGCCATCACTCTGTGTGATGAATCTGTGAGGATTTGTCATAGCCTTTGCTTGTTGACTCATTTGACATTTACTGATAAATGTAGGCTGTTTTGTCCACTTCATATAACTGGGGAAGCTGAGGCTCAGAGGGGCGAAGGGGCTTGCCCAAGGCTGCACTGTAAGCCTGTTGGACGTCTTCCCTTCATTATAAGAGCAAAAGGAGGTGATGATTTGGATGCCCTTTGGGGGAAGGAAAGGAGGGGAAGAGACACCCCCAACTCTATGACATCTGTATATCTCAGAACCCTGATCTCTGAGACCCACCCTTGGGTTTTTGGCCTGGTGATTTTCCACCACAGATTCAAGCAGTATTTGTGGGACCTCTTAACCTGGGCCAGGACTGCTCTGGATGCCAGTGATACAGACATGAATGAGACCCACCCCAGGTCCTGAGCCCAGGTCCAGAGTATGATGCAGCAGTTCTCAATTAGGGGTACTTCTAATCCCCTGGGAATATTTCACAACATCCAGAAACATTTCTGGCTAATGACTTGAGGGTAGGGATGCTATTAACATCTGGTGGACAGAGACTAAGGGATGCTACTAAGCAAAGCATTCCACAATGCACAGGACAGTCCCCACAGTCATTCAGTTCAAATTGTTTAAAATGCTGAGGCAGACAAATTTTGGTCTAACAGATGAATCAGATATATATAAAGACACACCAAAAGTACAACAGGGGGTTTGGGAGACTTTGGAGTCCAGAGGAGGTATGTAGGCCAGGTGGGGGGTCAGGCAAGGTTTCCCAAGAAGTGAACCCCCAGGGGTGGGTTAAAGATGACTACACAGTGGGCACGTATGGAGGGGAGCAGGGTATGCAGGACCAAGAACCAACCACAGGTTTGTTGTGGGATGAAACCTAGAGGGCAGAGAGAGGACATAGGGGAGGCTGTGGTCAAGGAGGAGGACTTCATCCACAGGAAGGCATTGTGGGATGCTAAGCAGGGAGAGAGATGGGTGGATGTCAGCTTTAGAAAGCTCCCTCATACGGATACAGGTGGGGCATACATTGGTACAGCTATTTGGGATTGGAACCTGTCACTATTTGGTCATAATTTATGCCTACACACGACCCAGCAATTCCACTTGTGATGGATGACTAAGCCAATGGTGACAACATGTTTAGAGGTGAACCAGGGTCAGAGGAGGGTGGGCAGGGTGGGGAATAAAGCAGGGGATAAAGGTCAGTCTGGACACAGTGAATTGAAGACCTTGTCAACATGATAGTAAAGCCATCCATGAGGGTGCTGGCTGCTTCTGTGGACAGAATATGTCACCCCAAAATTCATATGTTGAAATTCTGAACCCCAATATGATGCTATTAAGAAGTGAGGGTTGGGGCTGGGGTTGTGGCTCAGCAGTAAAGCACTCGCCTAGCACATGTGAGACACTGCGTTTGATCCTTGGCACCACATACAAATAAAATAAAGGTATAGTGTCCACCTACAACTAAAATTTAAAAAGAGGGTCTTTAAGAGGTGATTCAGGATTAATGAATGGGCTTAGTGCTCTTATAAGAGATACCAGAGAGCTCCCTCATCACTTCTGCCATGTGAGGACATGGTAAAAAAGATGGTGCATATGAAGCAGAAGCTGTCCCTTACCATATATAATTCTGTTGGTGTCTTCATCTCGGACCCTCTAGCCTCCAAAACTGCAAGGAATAAACATTTTGTTGTTTATAAATCACAAAATTTATGATATTTTGTTATAGCAGCCTGAACATACTAAGGCAGCTGCATAAGGTGGAGCTCAGCAGAGGGTCTGAGATGAAAACAAACATTTGTGCACAGTGAGGTGGGGGAGGGACAGCATGGGAGTGACAGAAGCCTAAGGACCACATCATCTAAGCTCCTGCTGTGGATGAGGAACCAATGAAGTTGACCACACAGTTGTCCTCCAGTAAATGGTAGGTCAAGATCATTGGGATACTGGACCAGAGGGTGGGAGTGTGTGGGGGGAGTCCATTTGCACAACCCTTTAACTGCCAAGAATGTCCATAACCATTGCCTCTGAGAGACTTACAGTAGCCCTGGGGATTGAGGGAGGGCAGGTCAGCTTTCTTGCCCACATTCCACAGATGAAGACACAGCCTGACACTTCTTAAGGAGGGATGGGCCTTGCGAAGGTCATATAAGGGGACCAGTGGAGGCACTGATCTCCAAGCCACAGCCAAGCTCTCTCTGTTCAGAGGCACTGCTGTTTTCATTGGTCAGAACCCAGGTCTGGATGATCTTCACAACAATCGCTGTATTCTGTGTCTGGATGGCCTCTGAGCATAGCAGAGATTTGGTCAGTTATTGGCCAAGTAGTCTTGAGTTGGAAGGTTCAAGAACACTGGGCAGGTCACTTCCTCTCTCTGAGTCTCCCGTGCTATTACTTGAAAAACGTGTTTGTACAGATTCTATAAGGATCAAGTGAAAAAAAATGGAAGCCACTGTGGACTGAACACTGCTTGTCCCCACCCAAACTCGTGTTGTGGCTTGGTCTTCAATGAGTGGTGCTGGGAGGTGGGGCCTGGAAGCAGAGCCTCATGAATGGATTGCTGCCTTTCTTGCATGAGTTCTTGCTCTCACAGGACTGGCTAGTCACTGTAAGAGAGGGTTGTCATAAAGCAAGCCCACTTTGGTAGTCTCTGTTTTGCACATGCCTGTTCTTTGCACATGCTTCCTGCCATGAGTTGAAGCTGCAGGAAGCCCTTGCCAGAAGCTGAGAAGATGCTAGTATCATGCTCTTGGATTTCCCAGCCTCTAGAATCATAAGCCAAAATAAATCTCTTTTTAAAATAAATTACCCATTCTCAGGTATTCTGTTATAGCAACAGAAAATGGACTAATACAGAAGCAAAGGCACTTTATAGGCTCTGTAGTTAAGAAGGGAAAAGATAATGAAGAGGGGAATTAGGAAGGAAACCAGGATTAGGGAGTGAGCATGGAGAAGTATAAAAAAGGAGGCTTGGATCTGGAGGAAAGGGAACACTTGGACCAGGTGTTCTGACAGAGTTAAAAGAAAGACAGTCCAGACCCTGGGAGGGTGATGATCCTCCCGCATCCTCTTGAGTTTTGCTCTCCCTCATCCCCATATCGGCTAAGCCTGCCAGCTCCACTGCTGGCTCACCAGCAGCTTCCTTATCAATCTTGTAATTCAGACTCCCTCCACCAGTCCTTTACCTGGCAGCTCAGGCTTTCCAAAGATAAATTGGCTTATGGCTTTCCTTCTCTTTGGGTCTTTTCAGTGGCTTACTCTTCTCTGCAGGATAAAGGCTAATAGGGCAGTCAGGCCCTCTGGCCTCTGTCCACCTTAGTGGCCTCACCTCTTAGATCTTGCAGTACCATAGCAGGCCTCTCTCTGCATATGGGCAACCACTGTCTGAATTTCCCAGCTCCCTCCAGACTTCTATCCATGTGCAGAGATCTTCCTCATCTGTTCTCAGCTCTGTGTCACCTTCTATGTTTGGCCTTCCTAGACCCCGATCTTCTGTGTCTCCATTATGCACACTTGTAACTTAGTGCCAGTTTAGATTGGTCTATTACCTGTCTGCTTTTTATTCTAGACCAAGGCCATGACAGCCCATACAGCCCTGCAGCCATCTGTGGGGTGACCAGGTGGTTTCTGAATGCCACTTCAGGAAGCCACAGTAGCTGGATAAGCAGGCTCACCTCATCTGAACTGCACACCCTATTCCCAGGCCAGTTGTGGGGGTGAGGAGGTAGTTAGGCTCAGAAATAGACACATTTGCTGGTTGCAGTGGCTCATGCCTATAATCAATCCCAGGGGCTTGGGAGGCTGAGACAGGAGAATTGCAAATTCAAAGCCAGCCTCAGCAATAGCAAGGTGCTCAGCAACTCAGTGAAACCCTGTTTCTAAATAAAAATACAAAATAGGGCTGGGGATGTGGCTCAGTGGTTGAGTGCCCCTGAGTTCAATCCCAGTACCCTCCAAAAAAAAAAAAAAAAAAAAAAGGGAACTAGACACATCTGATCATTTAGTTACTCCTTTCCTTAAATGTCCTACGCCACCGTAAGGAAAGACAAGTCCTCACAATCACATCCTCTTTGTACTTCCCATCTCTCATTCCCTGGCCCCATCTCATTCTGCTTCAGATACTCTGGCCTCCTGTTCGGGGGGAGGGCTCCTGAGTGTTCCACAGGCAGGGGTGCCCACCTGCTCCTTCCTGGGCATCATGCTGTCCATTCCCTCTGTCGGAACAAACATCTCCTGGTCTTTCCCAGGCCTCCTCTTTGCTTGAATGGCTGTCCACCCTACTTGGCACTTTTCTCCAACAGCTCTTGCTACCACCTGACAAACTCTCACATCTCATCCCTTCTCCATGTCTCCACTCTGGTGCCTACGGGGCAGGTTTCATCTGCTCTGTCCATCACTCTGAACCCAGGGCTTAGAAGTTATAGCAAACAGAAGGAGCCTAGTAACTTCTTGCTAACAAGTGAATGAAGTAATAGTGGGGACTCAGTGGGGCCTGAGCTTACCCACCACCGCTAAAGCACTGGAGGAAGAGGGGTGGAGCCTGGGCGTGCAGGCGGGCGGAACCCGAGGCGCGCGGGTCAGGGCCACCCGGAGGATTGAGCAAAGGGCACCCGCACCGCCGGAAGAAGCCGCGCGCAGGTCTGCCCCAGGATCGGAGCGGGAGGTCCTAGAACTGCTATGGAGCGCTCTCAGCCTGACGCTGCTGACGACAACGCCATGGACTCGTTCCTAGACAAGTTCCAGAGCCAGCCTTACCGCGGCGGCTTCCACGAGGACCAGTGGGAGGAGGTGGGCGGTCCCGGGGACTCGGCACGTGTACGGGGCCATCCTCTGGACTCTTGGGGCTCCGCGGTGTCTCCCGCAAGCCCAGGTCCCTGTAGCTGCCAGCGGGTGGATGGTTTCTAGTTGAGTATTAGCGATTGGCCTTGAGGTTTGAGAGTCTTCTTAAGCTGTCAGTACTTTCAGGAGTACCGGGTTAGCAGTCAGGCCTGTGACGCCGTCACCTACCGGCTCTGACACTGGTTAGTTTACTAAGTTCTCTGAGCGGGTTTCCTCTTTTGGAAAATTGCCCTACCTGTGGCACCAATCACTTAGGGTTGTGGCAAAGATAAAATGAAGCGTCAGGAACATAAGAGCGCTCAATTAATGGTAATTACTACTGCCCTTGTAGAATCCTGTAGAATGTGAGAACTGAAAGAATAGATGTCGTTATCCTGCATTCTCATTTTACAAAAAGGATTCAGCCAATCACGATAATTTGCAGATTGTGATGAATAAGAAAATGTTGATGATGAGTCGTGGATTGGCTTTACTCAATAGAAAAAGTTTATTCATGCTGTTCATTATGATTTTAAAATTCAGGAATTTGACAAGATCCCCTTATTTATGAAGAAAGCACCATCAGAAATTGATCCCAAAGAGAATCCTGACTTGGCTTGCCTCCAGTCAATTATTTTTGATGAGGATCGATCTCCAGAAGGTATCTTACGTGACTAGCATTTGTTTTGTATTGAGATAATGTGTGAGTCAGAAAGGTTCTGATTGATAAGAAGTAGTTTGCATGAGCTAATTTGTCACTGTTCACACATATTTACAGATTGCCAGGCTTTGGGGACATGGGGGTAAATAAGACACAGTTCCCGCCTTCAAAGGTCAGGCTCCAGTGAGAAGCTAAATTGTGCTGAAGAATTAGGACAAACTTGTGTTAAGTGCCAATGTATATACTATAGCTGTAGTGAGTGCTATTGGAACACTGAAGGAGCAGGAGTGGCCTCTCAGTGGATTGGAAATTTGAGCTGAATCTTAACAATTTTGTAGGCTTTGACTAGGGCAAGGAAGGGGTTTGCATCCCAGAGAATAAAATAGTATAAATAAAAGCAGAGGGGCAGGGGATATAGCTCTATTGGTAAAGTGCTTGCCTTGCATACCCAAGGCCCTGGGTTCAATCCTCAGCACCAAAAATAAATAAATAAATAAATAAAGTGTAACCCCTCCCATTTCCTCAGTAATTAAAAAAAAAAAAAAATCCTGTTTTCAAAATCTAGGATAAATATACTTTTTTCCCCCTTTATACTTCTTTTTCTTTTTTGTTAAGTATTTAGTAATGTACCTTGTAAAATATTTGGAATTGATTGAAGCATTAAGTTTTCATGACATTGTTTCTCCATATTGACACTCCTGTTTTGTTTTTTTTTTGTGTGTGTG